AGCCTGAGCACGTGGGACTCACGTGGTGTTTGCTTGGAACTGCTTCACCTCGTCTCACCCTGCCCTTTTCCAATAAAGCGGAAAGGTTGAGCACACGCAGCTGGGGCAGGGCAGGGTGGACGAGCAAGGCCCCGAGGCACAGAGGACATGCCCGGTCAGGGGAGGCAGCAGAGTTCACGAGCCCAGGGTTGGGCATCAGAAGCGGAAATTGGTTCCACCAGGGGTGTCCACACTTTTGCTTGGTTCCTTATTTGGAAAATGCACAGAAGACCCCGGTTCCCCCAGGCCACCTGGGCGTGAGGCAAGCCCCCTGCAGACAGCGGACCCCAGCCGTTGTGGCACAGGGGGCTCCCACAAGGGCTGCCCTGGGGCTCGCCAAGGCCTCTCGCAGCGGGGGCGGGGCCAGGGCTCTCCTTCCAGCCCCCACCCCAGCAGTTAGTGCAAGCGCAGGACTGGCTCGTTGACCTCGCTGCGGATTTTAACTTGCTCCCAGAATTCACCAGGTTTTGTACACTTGGCCAGGCTTCCTTCTGGAAGCAGCTAGGGAGGGACAGCACCTGCTGGGCGGCCTCTGGGCACTGGGAGAGGGAGGCTCAGAGGCGGGGTCTGTGGCCTGCAGCCTGGCTGCCCTCGCCAGCTGCGAGCCCCCGTGGAGTGACAGGCACCCAGGACACCCGTGGGTCTGCTCATGTCCAGGGAGCACCAGAAGCTGCAAGGCCGCATGCCATGCCGTTGTACCCGGATCAGGGAAGTCTGACCAGGGACACGCCGGGGCTGCAGGAGTGCAGCACGGCTCCAAGAGGCAGAATGGTATTTGTGTTTCCTGCAATGCTGCGTGTTTTCTTTGGAAACTAGCTGGCAGCCACCCCACATGTGTGCAGAGGGAACTGGGCCAGCAAAGCTCGGGTTTGTGTGTGATGCAGCCCCCTCCAGCTGGAGCTGAGGCTGAGCCAGCCGAGCAGCAGCCGCTGTGACACATGAAGGGTGCCCAGGCTGCGGCGCAAGGCCCGGCTGCTGCCCTGCCCCGACTGCTGCTCCTCCCACCTGTGCGTGTGACCACATGTGTCCCCCCAGAGCGTGTTCCACACTACCCCAAAGTGACAAGCGTGTGAGCCCACCTTGGGGACAAGTGAGAGCGGAGCAGCTGGACAGCACCCCGGGCCACCTCTCCCTCCGTGTCAGAGCTGAAGGGTCAGCAGCCCAGGGGACCCCCCTCCTGGCTGGGCGGCTGACTCACAGTCCCGGCTGACCAGCCTGCAAAGATGACCTGCACAGGACGCCCTGGCCATTGCCGCACCCGGCTGTGAGTTCACACCTGCAGCTGTCAGCCTTGGGCCCCTACCCCAAACGTTCCTCCTGACTAGGGTCAAGGGCGACTCTTCGGCTTATGTTGCTAAATGGAGCGCGAGAGAATGCACGGTGGGAGCGGTGGGAGTCCGGAAGTGGCCCACCTGCAGACACCTAGCTCAGAACCCGCCTCTGCCGGCACCACCCTGCTGTGTGCCAGGGAACACAGACATGCATGTGAACACACCACTGCTCATGTGCACCCTGTGGGTGTATGTGCACGTGTGTGTGTGTGATAGAGCATTGGATGTGCGTGCGCACTGTGTCCACATGTGTGCACATGTCCCTTCCCCCACCTCTGTCCTGCCCAGCCAGGTAGCTGCCCCTACGGCCTCCCTGAGCAGCCCCACACCCCTCAGTCCTGAGGCTTCGGTGCCCCTCAAGCCACCGTAACATCCCAGCTCCACCAGAAGGACAGCCCCTGCAGCATGGCAGGGGCAGCCAGGCCACTGAGCGCACGGACACAGCAGGGAAGGCCAGAGACGGCCCTGGCTCCCCTCAGTCCACCAGCACTTCTCCGGCTGCTGAGCTCAGCCCCTCCGGCCGCTCTAGCTGGGATCTTGGTCCCGTCCCTGCAGGAGCAGCAGTCCGCCCCGCGTGGGCTGCCGGGGCCTCATGAGAGCTCAGAAAGGCACACAGTCAGCAGAGTAACACCGGCCGGGGCGGAGAGACGTGTGCCGTCTCACTCTGAGGTCCTCTGACCTCAAGGCCACTGGCCAGAAAGACAGCCATTGGGGAAGTCGAGGCACGAAGCCAGAGATGATGGCACGTGAGAGAAATGGACGCACGTGACCCTGGGAGTCCAGTGCTGCCCCAGGAGCCCTGGGAGATTAACAGAGCTGGCCATGCCAGGCAGCTGTGGGGTCACCACCTCAGCAGGCCAGAGCCTGCCCTCCAGGCCCCCTCCCAAGCCCGTTTATAAGCACACAGCTCAGACCACTCTGCGGGGGCTGCACCGGCCCCGCCCGGCCCAGCCTGGCACACGTTGGGCATCTCTGAGGTCCTCTCCCTGGAGCACACCCAGGGACCAGGACCCTTCGGAGCAACGCCAGGCCCGGGCCCCCTGAGTTCTGGGTGGAACCGCCAGCCGGGGCATCCCATGCCACTTCCTGGTCTGGGAGCTCCATGCCCTCACGTCACAGCCCCTCCACACAGGCAGCCCCTACATGAGAACCAGCTCTACCAGAAGGCTCCCATGGGAGTGACCACAGCTGCCGGGGAGGGGTCCTTCTCTGAGACCACACCCTGCCCAGTCCTGTGTGGCCGCGTGACCACCCTTCTCCCGGCAGAGGCCATTCGGGAGCTTGTTTCCTTGTGCAGTCAACCCCACGGCCACCCAGGTGCTCTGAGGTGGGCTGAAGCCAGGACACTAAACGGGAGAGGGTCCCCCTCGCCGGCAGCCCAGGGTCACGACGGGGCAGGGGGAGACTGCGGGGCAGTGAGCCCAGGGTCTGGAGTGGATGCCTGGCCCAGACCACCTCCTTCCAGGGCGCCACGTTTCTCCCCATACCAGACTGTCCTGACATTTGTCCCTGGGCCACTGGCATGGTGGCTGGGTGACAGCCCAGGTCCTCACCGTGTAGACTCAGACCAGCCATGGCAGATTCCCAGGCCCGGGGCAGGAGGGAGCCCATCTACCCCGGATGCTGGGCCCCTCCTGGCCAGCGTCCTCCTGCGGATGGGGCCTGGTCAGACCGCAGCTGGGAGAAGGCCGGTGGCTGCCGTTCCGTGGAAAGTAGTGTGAGTGCCCGTGCGCCCAGGATCTCGTGGGAACCCGGCACCCTGCCCTTGTAAGGGCTCAGTGCCCTCCCTTCCCTGTGGATCTGTCCTCCGACCCTGCAGAGCCCACTGTCCACCATGGGCAGCCCAGCTGTGGGACCATGCCCCATGCCACTGCCGTGTGCCATCCCACGACGCCCATGCTTGGATGAGAAAACTGCCTTCAGAGAACAAGAGCAACTTGTGTTCATCTCTTGGCAGTAGCTGGACTGAGCGTGTGTGTATTTGTGTGTGTGTGTGTGCGTGTATTTGTGTGTGCGTGTGTGTATGTGTGTGTGTATGTGTGTGTGTGTGTGCGTGTGTGTATTTGTGTGTGCGTGTGCGTGTATGTGTGTGTGTGCGTGTGTGTATTTGTGTGTGCGTGTGCGTGTATGTGTGTGTGTGTGTGCGTGTGTGTGTGTGTTAGGATTCATTTCTTTTGCTTAAAAGTCACAGTTTCAGAGAGAGAGGGAGAAACAAAGATCTCCTGTCAGCTGGTTCACTTCCCAAATGCCCACAACAGCCAGAGCTGGGCCGCTGTGAAGCCAGGAGCCAGGAGCTTCTTCCAGGTGTCCCACGTGGGTGCAGGGACCCAGGCACTTGGCCCGTCCTCCACTGTTTGCTTTCGCAAGCCACAAGCGGGGAACTGGGTCAGAAATGGAGAAGCCAGGACTTGAACCAGCATCCATCTGGAATGCTGACACTGCAGGCAGAGAATTAGCCTGCTAGTTGTTGCTGTGGGGTGGAGGGAGTAGGGTAACCCCAGGGATCCGAGTGGAGTGGGGGCGCCTGCTGTTGTTTAGAAAAAGGGTGGGGGACAAACTAAGGCATCACCACCAGGGGCTTTTGCGGTTTTTAGAATAAATAGTAATTCAATCATGTGAGTTGCAACAGTGAAATCACTTTTTTAAAAACTCCCTCGGGGCCCGGTGCGGTGGCGCAGTGGTTAAGGTCCTCACCTTGCACGCCCAGGATCCCATATGGGCGCCTGTTCTATCCCGGCAGCCCCGCTTCCCTTCCAGCTCCCTGCCTGTGGCCCGGGAAAGCAGTGAAGGACGGCCCAAAGCTTTGGAACCCTGCACCCGCATGGGAGACCTAGAAAAGGCCCCTGGCTTTGGATCGGCATAGCATCGGCCATTGCGCTCACTTGGGGAGTGAATCATCGGACGGAAGATCTTCCTCTCTGTCTCTCCTCTCTGTATATCCGCCTTTCCAATAAAAAAAAAAAAAAACATAATAAAAATAAATCTTTAAAAAAATAAATAAATAAAGCTTTAAAAAAAATTTCCCCTTTTACTAAAGGCTCAGAGCCTCTAACAAGCAAGGTGGCGTGATCTGGGACATTTCCAGCAGACTGAGCCCGGCTGTCGGAGTCGGGAGTTCACCATGGAATCAGGTGGGAAATGATCTACCTGGCCCTAAAGAAGAGGCAGCTCCAGGACCAGCCCTCCACGGCGGGCCAAGCAGGGGGTGGTCCCAGCAGCCTCTGTGACCCACCCAGCCTCACGGTGCCACTCTGGCATGTGATGCCAGCTCGGGTGTTGCACAGCTCAGCACCCAGAGCCGCGTCTTCCTCCACTTAGGGAAGGGACACATCTGCAGGGAGCGCGAGGTCAGGACTGGCAGCAGTCTGCACGAGGGGACACAGGACGGCAGCAAGCGAGGACCCCTCAGGTCACAAACAGCAGCACCCACAAAAGTGGAGAGCTGCCAGGGGGCAGGTGCATCCCACCCATGACCATTTCCTTCTCAGGCCTCAGCCACGCTCCGTAAGGGGAGGGTCAGCACGACATTCCCCGCAGGAGAGTCGGGGAGGCCTGTCCACAGCCCGTGTGGGCCCGGTGTCAGTCCCAGTGACAGGTCAGACCTGACCGTCGCTTCCTTCCTCTTTCCAGTCAAGTTCAGCAGCTGTCTGGGAACCAAGAGGATGCAGTACGAGACCAACAGTGTGGACTTCGGAGTCGGGGCCGACGGCACGGTCTTCGCCACCCGCGAGCTGCAGATCCCCTCGGAGCAGGTGGCGTTCGTGGTGACAGCGCGGGACCGCCAAACCGCCGAGCGCTGGGATGCCGTGGTGCGGCTGCTGGTGGCCCAGACCTCAGCCCCACTCTCTGCACACACGGTAGGGTGGGAGCCAAGGTGGGCGGGCATGGCCCAGTGGGAGCTCTCACTTCCCAGTGACGGTTGAGGGCAGAGCTGCTGCCAGGGTCCCCAACAGCAGAGGGCTCCATCCCATGACGGCATCCCCCGCCGAAGCCAAGGCCAGCCCAGGGAGTCTGTCCCGTAGCAGAGCCCGGGCCAGCACAGAGGGCCCTGCCTGCAGTTGCTGTTCAGACATCCTTGGTTTCTGAGTGTAGACCCCCAGCCTGCACCGGGAGTGCCACAGGGCATGAGGGATGGGGTGCAGCTCCGGGGGCTCGGGGCTTGGAGGAGAGAGACAGAGCCCTGGCTGGGCCTGAGTCCACCAGGACAGCAGGTTTCAGGTTTGATGGCACGGAGGGCTTAGGGAGGGAGGCAGCTCCAGAAAAGCAAGGGCACCCCAAGCGATCGGAAATTGAAATGAACCCTACACCAACTCGTGCAGGGTTAGCAAGCCCCGCCCCCCAACCCTGTGTCCCAAACTGGCAAGAACTAAAGATCAAATCCAAAACCAGTGAGAAACAAGGTCACGGCGACATTGGAAACCTGAACGACATGACAGCAAGGCAGGCAAACAGCTCAGCAGGCCCGGATGAGCCGTGTTCGCACAGGAAGCAGGGGGAGGGCCACGCGGGTCTGTTCCAGGAACATCAGGACTCCAAGGGGGTGGAACGCAGCAACCAGGCCGCTGCATGAATGGTCCACTCCAGGCGGGAAGCAAGGGCCTTCCTCCATCCGCTGTCAGCTTCCCCCGGGAGCTCTGAGCTTCCCGGGAGATGAACACGCTGACAAGGCAGCACAGGAGCGGCACCACCACATCCAGCAAGACAGCACAGCATCCATGAGACCAGCCCACCGCGCCACGTGGTCACAGACAGACGGACAGACGCCCACAGGCCTGGAGCCGAGGACAGATACCCACCAGGCCTGAGGCCAAGGACAGACAGACGCCCACAGGCCTGAGGCCGAGGACAGACAGACAGACGCCCAACAGGCTTGGGGCCGAGGTGTCAGAGCTAGTGAGTGAGGTTAGCCGGAAAAAGCGTGTATTAGAACAAAGGGAAACTTGTGAAATGTGGACTGTGGCATAATTACAAGCACATTGGAATGAGCTCTACTCGGCAATGAACCTGCCAAAAGAATGCAGGACCCTGCCCAACACAGAGAAAATCAAACCATTTACCTGGAGGGACACGCCTGCCCGTGACTCGGGGACATGATGTTGTCAGCCCCAGCCCAGTACAAGGCTGGTGGACCGGAAACCAGCAGACCACAGACTGGTGGATCTGAGACCGGAGGACCACAGCCTGGCAGACCCAAGCCTGGAGGACCAGAGACCAGCAGACCAGAGACCACCGAGAAGTTGGGTGGGACTCAGCGTGTAAACTAGAGGGCCCAGAGCAGAACAGTGGAACAGCGGGCACGCCTCTCGGACACGGGCACGCCTGGGCAGCAGGCGCTGGGGCTTCCAGGCCTGAGCGCCGTCCAGGGGGCAGAGGTCACAGCCGCATGTGCAGGGCACTGGGCAGTGCTCAGCCTCTGCCTGCCGACGCCACCTCACCCCACCAGCCCTGGCCGCCACACTCAGTCATCCCCAGTCCTCACCAAGTGCCCCTGGGGAGCGGAATGTCCCAGTTCTGAGGTCCAGGCAAGCACAGATTCAAAGTGGCAAAGTTTGTGGCCATCGCTTCCCAGGCTGTGCACACACATACCACCTACATACCACCTGTGCCCACTGCCACAGACACCTGTTCATTCCCACAGTGGGGAGGACCCAGGCGCATGGAGGAGCCGACTCACTGCCTGCCAGTGCTCCCCAGGGCCCCCTCAGCCCCCATGCCAGCTACTGCCCCATTTCTCCACGTGACTTTCAGCTTGGGAAAAGCTGGTTTCAGCGCTAACTGGAATTGGGTTTCATGAGGGGGCCAAGGCCTCCCCTTGTCTTCCGGCCAGGAGGTGGGCACGGCATGCCCAGCACCGAGGAAGCGAGCGGGAGGCCTTTCCCCACGTCCCGGCCGGGGCCTTCCGGAGGCGTGCACACGGTCAGAGCAGGCCGCTCGTCTCCCTGCAGACAGCGTGGGGAGCCCGCTCAGAGCCCTGCCAACGGCTCCAGGGAAAGGCATCGCCCGTCACTTGGTCCTCTGCCTTCGCCGTGACCACGGTCTCATAACTAAGGGGCAGTTCCATTGAGGGCATCTCTAACCAAGTTCACATTGAATATCTGGAGCAACTCGCTCTCAACCGGGGTGTGGGGCAGTGCCTGGAGACTTGGGGGCCTCCTAGTAGGTGGGGGCCAGGACACCCCTGAACCCAGAGGGCTCCCCAGTCAGAGGCTCAGAGGGTCTAGGATCCGTGGGGTGCTGGGGAGGTTGTGATGGTGCAGTGTTGACATGATGGTCTCACACACGTGGCTCGTCCAGATGTGTCCACACAGGGACATTCTGTCCCATCAGTGCCCAGCAGGTCACGCTCTGGGAGAGGCCATGTCTGAGCCACATTCGCTCGGAGCAGCTGCCGGGGTCACTGTACCTTCTGTGTCGTGGGGAGATGAGGCTCCGGGACCATGTGGTGGCCCTGCGATGTGTGTCACAGACAAGTGACAAGTGACCGCCAGAGGGTGGCGCTCGTTGGAGGTGTCCCCAGAGCCGGCTCTCACCCCGAGCATGGCCACTCCTGTGGCCACACCCGGGTCTGAGCACCTGCTCCCACACACAGGCACAGTGGGAGGTGGGGCATGGCTGCAGCGTACAACTGACCAGTGCCATTGTGTCCACAGGAGGGTCAGCAGGCAGCAAGAGCCTGACTCCAGGGCTCGGCCTGGGTGCCAACCGTGAGCCACGGCCACGTGACCACAGACAAGCCTTCGGCTGCCTGGGCGCCCCCACTTCCCTGAGCATAAACAAGGAAGGTGCTAGCGCCACCTTCCTCCGTTGTCACAGAGCAATGACTTGTGGGGAGAGGGAGCCTCCCAGCCAACCCAGCACACAGCAGCAGCCTGCTGGGAGGTGCCCGGGCAAGAGCTGAGACCTGGGAGGAGCAGTCCTTACAGCCGCCCTGGCACACTGGGCAGCCTGCTGGGAGGTGCCCGGGCAAGAGCTGAGACCTGGGAGGAGCAGTCCTTACAGCCGCCCTGGCACACTGGGCAGCCTGCTGGGAGGTGCCCGGGCAAGAGCTGAGACCTGGGAGGAGCAGTCCTTACAGCCGCCCTGGCACACGGTGGGCAGCCTGCTGGGAGGTGCCCAGGCCAAGGGCTGAGACCTGGGAGGAGCAGTCCTTACAGCCGCCCTGGCACACTGGGCAGCCTGCTGGGAGGTGCCCAGGCCAAGGGCTGAGACCTGGGAGGAGCAGTCCTTACAGCCGCCCTGGCACACTGGGCAGCCTGCTGGGAGGTGCCCAGGCCAGTTTTACTTCCAGGGAGGAGGTACCGGGAAGCAGCTACCTCTTCCGATCGATCATTCAGGAGACACAATCTCCCCTTCTTCCCAAAAACCAGGAGTGAGGAGACACACCTGCTGGCCCTGTGGAATGGTCGCTTGTTCCAGCACCGCCTCTGCTGCCCCTGCTGCTGAGCAGGGACCGGAGCCTGCAGACACCCGGGGGGAGGGCCATCAGGGCTGGTGCCGCAGAAGGCAGACACCTTTTACTCTATGTTGGTTAAATATCGTTTGGCTCTGCCTGTCCTTTGCTGCCATGGAAACCAGCTGTGAGCAGGACCTCAGCGAGTGCCTGTGCCTGCAGCCGAGCCACCGTCTCAGGAAGGTGGCAGGTGCTGGGCAGTGCTGGATTCTCTCTCTCTCTCTCTCCTCCTTCCTCTCCCTCTGTCTATCTCTGTTTTCCATAAACGTCTAACCAGCACCAGGTCTGATCAGGTGGGTGGGGAGCCCAGCTTCCTCCCTGCATGGCAGCATGTTTAACCAGGGCTCGGAGAATGCGCTGGAAAAGTGGCCGGTCAGAGTCACTGGTGCCCATCCCCCAGGCCCACCCTCCTGTTGCAGACAAGCCCATCACTCACCCAGGGCTTGGTTTTGCGGCAGACCCTGGCACAGCCACCTTGGAACATGCCATCCTGAAGTGCAGGACCGTCTGTGTGGTTAGAGATGGCCACATCATGACCCACACATTAGAGCGGGCCAGGAAGGCAGGGCCTGGGGGCAGGCCACCCTGGGGACGGGGCAAAGGCTGGGAACGGCAGGCCTGGGCACCTGTCCTCCTTGCCACCAGGGCAGGGGGCTTGGTCAAGCCCCTGATACCCCAGTGCCGGTCGCAGGGGGCCTCACAGGAGGACAGAGCCTTCCTCCCCACCAGGCCTGGGAAAGACCTCCCTAGAGCCAGGTGGAATGCCAAACTCTGATTGGCTGGCCAGACTCAAGCCCGCCCCCTCAGCTCTGGGATTGGCTTCCAAGCTAGATGGCAGGTGCATGGTGAGCCAGGTGGGGCAGGAAGGAGTGGAGTCCATGTCCTTGGCCCAGACCCTCTGCTGCCCTGTGGCCAGGATGTGGAGAGAGCCCAGAGGGGGCAGAGTCAGGGCTAAGGGAGAGACCAGAGTCCTGGGGTGGCCAGTCTGCCTGGGAAGTGGGGTGCCCTCAGGGAAGGCCCCACAGGCTGGCAGCAACTCCTGTGCGGGACAGCCTCGGCCATGCCTGCAGGAGTCCTTACAGCCGCAGACACAGCTCAGGATCCTGGCTCGCCTGAGCCGCGCCAGCTCGGGCCGCCCTGCAGTGTGGGCTCGGCCTGGCTGCTGGCTTCAAGAAAGCGATGATGTGTTACACACACAGGCGTGTGCACGTGCGGGTTTGTGCGTGACAGAAACAACAGCTCTGCATGTATGTGTTCATCTGCGTGGCCCGGCTGCGGTGTGTGCGCACAGAATGTCTCCACGCACGTGCGGGAGTTGTAGATAACAACCATGTAACTCCGCCGGCCCCTGGCTGGCCCCGGGCCGCGCCGTGCCCGCGCCGTGCCCGCGCCGTGCCCCCACCAGCCGCTGAGGCCCCAAGCTCCTCGCAGAGGCGTGGGCACATCCTGCAGGCGGAAGCCCATGCAGGTCTGGCTCCAGCCTCCAGACTTTGTTGCTGCATTTGTCTCAGCTTAAAGCACTGGCAGCTACAAGCCACGAACTTAAACAACATCGGGGGAGTCAGCACACACAAGCCCACCCCAAGCAGGTGAAGACAACTCCCAGAGACCTGACTGACGCCCGGGGCCCGGGAGCTGACCCCACCTCCCCAGCCCCGGGGAACGCTGGCCCGGCCCTTGGGTTGGCAGTGGGTTGCCAGCGGGTTGCCAGCGGGCACTGGATGCTCTACCACCGCCCCCTGTCCAGCTGAGCTCAAGCACAGAAAGTTCCTGGCCGCTGCTTGGTGGGCCATGCGGTCCTCACCAGGTCCTCTGTCGCCAGGCAGTGGGCTGACGTGGGGCTCACAGACCGCCCGCCCCCAGTCTGGTGTTTACAGAGGGCACCAGGGCAGGGCAGCAGCCTTCAGAGCCCTGTGGTAGGCTCCCGCCCCCCGGCACAGGTGCATCGGCTGCTGCTCACCCCACCCGCGGGCACCCGGCTTGAGGGACGGCAGAGGGGGCACCCCTGGCAGGCAGGGACCCAAGAGCGAAGGCCGGCGGCCTAGGGCCGGACTCCCCATGTTCCAGCCTTGCCTCCCGGCCAAGGAGGGCACTCTGCGGCTTCCTTACACACCAGGGAGGGCCTGCCTCCTCTTCCTTCTCCATCACCTTCCCCTCCTGTCCCGTCTCCTCCCCCTCCCTTCTCTGAGGTTCTGGCAGGTTCGTGGGTGGCAGGGAGCACAGCAGGTTCACTCTCTGGTTGGTCTGTCATCTCTGCTCTGTGGGGTCCACCCCCAGCCCGTCCTCTTTGCATGTGTAGGGTGTTCTCCACGAGAACTCGGAAGTCTGGGTCAGGCCTGCTGCCATGTCGCCTGCCACCCTTGCCTCTTAGCTGGCAGTGTGCCCACCAGTGGCGGTGTGGAATGCCGTGTGAGCACTCAGTGTGCTGCCTGGGCCTCTGCTGGGGACCTGCCCATCCCACCGGAGGGCCGGGGTCCCCGCTCCCGCCCCCAGCCTGGGCGGCCCAGCCCCAGTGTTGCGGGCATTGGGGAGGGAACTTGCCATTAGGAGCCCTCTCTGCCGTGAGTGGCTTCACGTGGGCTCTGCTCCACATGTGGAACTTATGGAGAAAGCCCCTCCCCACTGCAGGTGGGTCTCGGCTCTCTGGCTGGCCACCCCCGCCTGTGCAGCCTGAGGGACAGGTGGGGCCTTGCTGGACCCCATCTTGGCTGCCTCCCCAGCAGCTGCCGGCCTCCCCACCCCATGCCCTGCCGGGGCTCCTCTTGCCCATGCAGAAGCTAACCGCCCTCTCTTCTTGTCCCCTCCCGCCTGGGCACAGCAGCGAGGGAAGAACACGCCTCTGGATGCCCCGGCGGCCCCCCTGGACATGCTGCTGCCCTGGCCCCAGCTCCACAGCACTGGTGGGCTGCGGCGGCAGAAGCGGGACTGGGTCATCCCACCCATCAACGTGCCGGAGAACTCCCGCGGACCCTTCCCCCAGCAGCTGGTGCGGGTAAGTCCCTCAGGTGTGGACCGAGCAAACCCTTCTGGTTTTCCTGGTGTGGATGCATTTGCCCCAAGTGGAGGCCCCGGCAGACGTGGGCAGAGGCCAGGCCAGAGCTGTGGGAGCCCAGCGGAGACCAGCTGTCTGCAGCAGTGACTGCACTGGCCGGGTTCCCCGCAGACCAGGCCCCAGGGTGCTTTCTCAGGGCTCAGTGGGATGGGCATCATCAGAGCTGACCACAAACAAGGGGCAGGCTGAGGCTTGCATCTGCTGGACCCACCTGGGGGAAACTGTCAGCGGAAAGCCCTGAGCTCGCTCTGCGGGCTGTGCGGCCTTGGCCCCGCAAGGTGAGGTTGTGCCTGTGACTGGGCCTGGGGGGCTTCCAAGCTACCTCGTTCCACAGCAGCTCCAAGAAATCTGTCCTGTTGCCCTCCCGAGCGGGCCATGGGCCAGGTGCAGGCACCTCACACTGGGCCCTGGTGGCAAAGGGGGCACGTGGCCATGATGGGGCAGCCGGAATTGCCTGCAGCTTTCCAGCATGGTCTGGGACTCCCTGGGGCTTCCTTCCTCGGCCCTCAGGCACGTGCTAGCCCAGGGAGGCACTCGCAAGCAGGGAAGTGGCCGTGGCCAGGCATCCTACCATGGTCATGACTGGGCCCCCCACTGTGGCTGTGGACAAAGCCCCACCCCTTGTGGCCGTGAGCTTGTCCCCGACCCTAGCCCGTCATGGCCGCGTCCAGAAGGATTCCCAGGCTAGCCTCAGCCAGGTGATTCCTGTCTGGCCCCCACCTGTGGGGAGCAAGTCAGGGTGGGAGCCAGCCCTCGGTGCACAGGGTCCTTGTCCTTCTGGCACCGGGCAGAGCTGCCTCCTCCTTGCCAGCACAGACCACTGGTCCTGGGTTCCAAAACGCAGGATGTGGGTAAAAACAGGCCGACTGACACACCAGTCAGGAGAGCAGAGCACCAGGGCTGCAGTGCCATGGGGCTGCCCGTGGGATGGAGCCAAAGGGTTGCTGGTCCTTTATGCCCGCCCCTGCAGTCCTCCAGCCCTAGGTGGGGCTCCCCACGCCAGAGCATCTTCCCCCAGTGAGCTGCGGACAGCAGGGCACTGCCCAGGGTCAAAGACCTGACCCCTGAGGAGGCTGAGGAGCAGGGGAGAGTCTCCCAGGGCAAGGATCAAAGACAGGCTGGGTGTGGGGCAGGGCACGTGGACACCCAGTGAGAGGAGGGCCAGGTGTGGGGCGGGGCATGGCCCGGCCACCCAGTGAGAGGAGGGCCAGGTGTGGGGCGGGGCATGTGGACACCCAATGAGAGGACGGCTGGGCGTGGGGCGGAGTACATCAGTATCCCAGTGTCTCTAGCAGGCCAGCCTGCCCACTGCCCACAGGCCAGGGCCAGCAGCCTTCAGTGGTATTCCTGCAGCCCAGGGCTTACCTAGACCTGGACAACAGTGTCGCTGCCACTCAGCAAGCTTCACTGCCTGCCCTGTTCTGGGGCGTCTGCTCCTCACGGGAGCCCCGTCGGGTAGGATCAGGGCTGAATTTTGTCATGCGTGGAGATGCACACGGCTGCAAGGAAGGCCAGCTCGCTGAGTCCTCGGCCCCTGTCCCGTGCCCTCCAGGGCCTCCACAAGCCACTGCACCCCTCCGCACGCCAGAGCTGTGCTGCCCCAAGCTGCCTCTCGTGACAAGCCAAGGACAGGTGGCACTTGGTTCTGGATTCTGCTCCTGGCCCGTTTGGGTCCCAGAAATCCATGTTGGCCTTGCCACCTGCCAAGAACGCAAGTACCCTGAGCCTGAACTACCGCTCGGGGCTCTGCCCATGTCAGGTTAACCTGGGTAGACAGCATGGCAAACACTACCCCATGAGTGCTCAGCTGTGTCTCCCCTGCCACCCGCAGTCCTGAGATGTGGAGCCATACCTCCCGCGGCCTGCCAAGGGGCAGGGCTGAGCCAGTGATCCCCGAGTGGGTGGGGTGCAGCCTGACAGCCCCCCAAGCTCCACACTGCCCCTCTCTGGCAGCCGCCGTCCCTTCTGGAGTTTGATGGCAGAACGCCAGGTCGTCGGGGACCATCCTTCTGTGTGTGACAGTGCCCGCTGCGCCTGCCAGGTGTAGCTGGGAGCACCCCAAGACCCCTGGCCCCTAACTGCCCTTTCAGTTCTCAGTATAGCCAAGGTCCTCGAGGCTCCTCCAGCAAGGCCAGATCCAGGGGACTTGGGGATGGGGTAAGTACAGGCCCCAGCAGCAGGCTGACGCCGCGGCCACACCCCTGCCTTCCAGATCCGCTCCGATAAGGACAATGACATCCCTATTCGCTACAGCGTCACGGGCGTGGGTGCCGACCAGCCCCCCATGGAGGTGTTCAGCATCGACTCCATGTCCGGCCGTATGTATGTCACGCGTCCCATGGACAGGGAGGAGCGGGCCTCCTACCATGTGAGTACCAGTCCCGCCGCGTGGCCCCTGAGATGCTAGGCGGGAGACGGCAGACCCCAAGGAGGGCCGGCTGCCACCCTGGGCTCCTGCAAGCCATGCCTCATTGCTTCCTGGGGTCCTGCCAGGCCTTGCGGGAAGCAGCCCGGGCAACCCAGTGTCGGCACTGCTCAGCCCGCCCGCCTCCCCGGCCCTGGTTTAAGGGTCCCACAGCCTTTGCTGCCCTGCTAGAGTGGAGGGAGGGATGAGAGAGGAGAGACCTAGTGTTTGCACACAGACACAGGGCGAGTCCAGTCCACGCCACTCCGGTGGCCAGGAGTGCACCCTCAGGCAAGTCTCCGCCCGGTCTGCACCCGGCCTTCCCCTGCCCAGGGGAGAGTGCCCAGCAGGGCTGAGCGCGGCCCCGCAGACTCCCAGCCCCGGCTGCTGTCCTGTCCTGGGGAGCCCGCAGAACGAGGCTGGGTTGGCGCCACGTTGTGGATGGGCTGCCCTGCTGCAGCCGCCAGGGCACTTGTCCTGGCTCAGGGCCTTTCCTGAGGCCCGCTCCCAGCAGGACCAGGTGCTTGCATTTCTTGCGGGCCAGTTGCTGGCCGCCAGGACGCTTGGTCTTTAAAACTGTACCCAGCCCTGTGGCAGGCGCAGGCGCTCTGCTAAAATATCTACTGGAAGATAAGTTGGCAGCAGTGAGGCCAGAGCCTGGGACGGCCCCCGCGCAGGGCTCTGCGAGCACAGGGCCCGTGTGTGCAGGTCTGGGCAGGAGGACGGCCCTGGGCACCAGGGTCACCGCAGGTTGCAGCCCTGACCAGCACCTGCAGGCCAGACCACCCTGCCGCAGCCCAAACTTCACACAGGCACCCCTCCCGGAGAAGGGGGAGACGTCCCCAGACAGCCCGCCTCTCGCCTGCAGGCAGCTCTCAGTCCAGCAGCACCTCATGGGCCCACAAGGGCATGGCAGTCCCTTCATGCCCCCTGTGTCTCCAGTGCCTTGCTCAGCACCGTGCCCTGCCTGCAAAGCCAGCCCTTGGAAGGACAGGGGCACCCATGTGATCCTCACCCGTCCGTGCAGGCCCAAGGCAGGCTGGCCCATCAGCCCATCTGTGCAGGCCCCAGGCAGGTTGGCCGGTCACTCTGTCCATGCAGGCCCAGGCAGGCTGGCTGGCCACCCCGTGTGTGCAGACCCCAGGCAGGCTGGCCGGTCACCCTGTCCGTGCAGGCCCTAGGCAGACTGGCCAGTCACCCTGTCCGTGCAGGCCCCAGTGGCCGGCCACCCCGTCCGTGCAGGCCCCAGGCAGGCTGGCCAGTCACCCTGTCCATGAAGGTCCAGGCAGGCTAGCCACCAGTCACTCCGTCTGTGCAGGCCCCAGGCAGGCTGGCTGGTCACTCTGTCCATGCAGGCCCAGGCAGGCTGGCCGGTCACCCTGTCTGTGAAGGCCCAGGCAGGCTAGCCACCGGTCACTCCGTCTGTGCAGGCCCCAGGCAGGCTGGCTGGTCACTCTGTCCGTGCAGGCCCAGGCAGGCTAGCCACTGGCCAGCCCTCTTCTGCATTTGGCCCTCCTGCTGCAAAGATGGCAGCATCAAGCCACAAGATGACCACTTCTAGTCCAGCTCCAAGTCACTGTTTCCCGGACGTGCCATGCCCTCCGCCACCTCATGTCCCCTCCTGGACAGACACCCGTCCCCAGACAGATGGCCGGGAAGGTCGGGGGGGACCAGGAGCCTGCCCTTCAAGATTGCATTCTACGTCAAGTTATTATTTATTTGAAAGCCAGAGACAGACCAGGAGCTCCCGTCTGCTGGTTCACTCCCCAAAGCCCACGATGGCAGGACTGGTCAGGTCACAGCCCAGCACCGGGAGCTCCAACTGGCTCTCCCAAGCACTTGCACCATGACCAGCTGCCCCCTAGTGTGTGCGTGGGTGGGGGGCTGGATTGGAAGTGGATGATACCACATGGGTGTCACCCACGGCAGCCACATACTCACCCTGGGAAACTGGTTGCCATGACAACGTGGCACAGGATGCTGCAGCGCCTCGGGGTCCCCTACACTGGTGACAGTGCAAGACTCCCAGTGGTGCCGTCACGGGCGCCTCCTGACACCCTGGGGTCCCCAGGGGACTCCCCCCTCACTTGCTCACAAGGACATGAGATGAGGCCCCTCCCCCCCTACACACACACACCGTCCTCTCTGTACCAGCCTAGAGACCTGACAGGTGTGGGAGCCATGAGCCAAGGCCGTGGCTGTGCGTGGGCAGCAGTGGGGCAATCCCGTCTGCACCCTGGGGCCAGGAGCCCAGTGGCCTGCAGCACTGTCCACACTGCCCTCGGCCTGATCCCATCCATGGGGCCTTGGCCAAACAGTGGCCCCTCCCAGAGGACCCTGCCCTCCTCAAGCTGGCTGCTGTCCTCACACTGGGCAGCCAGCAGCTCCTCCCTTCCAGCGCCCCTGCCACGGGGTCAGATGCTCTGGGGCAGTTGTGTCCAGCCCCCAACCACCTCCCCAAACCAGCCAGTCCAGCATAGCACCCTGGAGCCCCTCCCTCAGGGCAGGAGGGTCTACCAGCCAAGTACCTGCCCTGTTGCCCCTCTTGGCTGGGGCGAGAACCAGTGCAGTCTGGGGCAGGGGGCATCCCAGAATTCCTCACAGCTGGCCTTGGGCTGGACGCGGTGGATGCTCCGATTAACCATGTCCCCACTGAGACCCAGGCCTCTCTGCACCCCCATACATCCCCTCCCCGGGGTCCCACATAGGCCTCCTAGTCACAGAGCTTTAAGCCCCACCCCCTGCTAGACACAGATGTGACTGGCGGCCTTGGGTCAGTGCTCGCTGGCAGTGTGTAGAGTCCGGGGGGACTCTGAGAGTCACCTCTCTTTTGCACCTGCAGAGGAGCTGCTGATGCCTGCCTGGGCTGCCTCCTGTCACAGGGCAGGGGACTGTGGGCCAGCCAGCTGTGTCCCCTGCAAAGATATGGGTCACTGGGAGATGTATCCCCTCAAGTCTGTGGATCAGCTGAGTGGTATACCCCAAGGCTGCGGGTCAGCCGGGAGCTGTACCCCGCTGGCAGAGGGCACAGGGGAATTGCACTGGCTCCACGGGCTGGCCTGGGGCCCACTCTAATGACCTGTGTGCCCCCCAGCTGCGCGCTCACGCCGTGGACATGAACGGTAACAAGGTGGAGAACCCCATCGACCTGTACATCTATGTCATCGACATGAACGACAACCGGCCCGAGTTCATCAACCAGGTCTACAACGGCTCCGTGGACGAGGGCTCCAAGCCGGGTGAGCCAGGGCGCAGGCTAATGGGCAGGGCCTCCCGGAGCCCATGGCCCCGCTCTCATGGATGTCAGCGAGCATCCACGTGGGCTCAGACCAAGGATGAGAGGGCTCCGTGGACGAGGCAAGGGCTGCGATGGGTGCCCAGAGCACTGCTGGCCACAGGAGGCCGTTCTGCAGAGGTGACGTGCAGCTGGAGCCAGAGCATGAAGCAGTTGGGGTACTGGCAGCCTGGGAGAGGCCCGAGACAGGAGACCAGATTAGAGAGGAGGCCACGAGGCCTCGCTTTGGGCCACACATGGGCCCGGTGTGGTCCTGACCCAAGCGAGTGCCTCCCACACCCTGTGCCCAGAGCCGTGTGGCGCAGCGTGCCCTGCCAAGGCTGCATGCTGCTCCCTGGAATCTGGTCCCGCAGGAAGCATAAACTGCAAGTTCCAAGCGGCTCTGCTGCTTCCCTGCCACCGTGCCCTTGGCTACAGTTCACTTCTGCAGGGGCATCCTGGGCGCTGCACCCGGCGCCTGACTGTGGTCCCCAGCAGGCTGCCTGGGCACCTGGGTGCAGTGGGCTCGGCTGGCGGCTCAGTAGCGATGAGCTGTTTGCCAGGTCCCGCAGGGGTCTGTGTGGGCGCAGAGGGAGGCCAGGGCTGCCAGGGCTGCGTACACACAGCCTGTGGCTCATTCAGGGCTCAGGGTGGCAGCGGGCACCTGTCTCAACAGCCTCATGAACCGCTCGCTTTTACCCTTGTCACTCAAGGCCTCAGATAGCGGATTCTCGGGCCCAATAGCGCCCTAGTGGCTGGAGTGCCAATGGGCAGTGCGCCAGGCTCTGTGTGTTTTGAGAGCTGCTGGAGAAAAGTGGTGCCCGTATTGATGGTTTCAGAGCTTAAAGTCTCTGACTGGAGTCTGTGAAGCAGCAGGGGCGTGCACATGCTGCGGATGGAGTCAGGGCACCGTGGCCCGAGCGAGGCGTGCACTGCTCAGCGGCTGGTGCTGTCTTTCCCGTGCTGGGGTGCTGGGGGTGCACCCACCGGGCTGGGGCGCCCGACAGTCATCCCAGTGCTAGAATTTAAATCTTTAGCCTCAGTGATTTGAGCAGAAAGCCAATTATGGTCTGAATTCGTCTTCAAATTAAACTGCAATCTAAGGTTTGCGAGATGAGTCCTCGAAGGCATGGCAGCCTTGGCACAGAGGCCCAAGGAAGACCCCGGCAACAGAGCTCAGCTCTGCCCGCACCTGTTAGTGGGAGCTGATTGAAAGATGCTTGCGTCTTCCTGCCTCTCCCAGAGCAGGCACATGGGCCCTACCTTACCGCCACACTTGCCAAGGACCACTATGCCTCTGCAGCGGGCACAGGGGCCTCCGCTGGCCACTCGGCTTCCTCTGTAGAAGGCCCTGGGCTCCGCGTCCCTACAGCAGGCACTGTGAGCATAGCGCTCTGTGCATACCCAGTGAGGAGACTCCAGCTGCTCCCTGCCTGGGCCCCTCCCGTGGGTCTCCCAGCCCAGCCCCACATGAGTTGAGGGTCCCAAGGTTTTTCACTGTCTCCCACTGCTTTCCCAGGCTGTAAACAGGGAGCTGGGTCAGAAATGGAGCTTCTGGGATTCGAACCGGTATCCATATGGGTTACTGGCACTGCAGATAGAAGATTAGCATTCTATACCCACACTGGCTCCACTGTGTGTTTGGTCCATGCCTCTGAGGTGCTCCCCATAAGCCCCCAAGTGGGCTCAACGAACAGAATGCTGGGGCCCTCGATGTGTGCAGCTCTGCTGGCCCTGCTTAACGGAAGAGGTCAACCTTGAAGAAACTTCTAGCTCTGGTTGAAATCCTTCAGGGGTTTGGGGGGTAGGCAGGGAGGGGTCGGCAGGTCCATACTCTGAGGTCCAGCAGACATGCTCGTGGCACGGGTGGGGCCTCAGGAGGAGCACTCTGCAACTGACTGGTGAGGCCCGCCCGGGCGCCCCCTGAGCGGCTCCCTGCTTCCCAGGCACCTACGTGATGACGGTCACGGCCAACGACGCGGACGACGGCACCACGGCCAACGGGATGGTGCGGTACCGCATTGTGACGCAGACGCCCCAGAGCCCGTCCCAGAACATGTTCACCATCAACAGCGAGACCGGGGACATTGTGACGGTGGCCGCTGGCCTGGACCGCGAGGTGAGGCGGGCACGGCGGGCAGTGACAGAGCGGCTGGTCCCTGGCCAGAGGAGACAGTGTGCTGCTGGCCTCCCGGGAGCCTCCTGGGACAGCCCTGCTGACATGGGGCAATGCAGAGAGGGGTGGGGCCCAGATAAGCAGGGGGGACTGCTCCGTGCTCCCCAGATGCGAGTCGGGCCACCGTGCGTTCTGAAGTGATGGAGAAGGAACCAAAGGGGTGCCATGGCCCTTGTTGGTCGTGGGGCCTGAGACCCCAATCCTTTCATGCCACCAGGGCCTCTGCCTGGCTCTCCCTCCACCCAACCCAGAGCACACCCCCAGGAGGCCCTGGGAGAGGGTGCGGTGAGGAGGGCTCACTTCTGCCGCAGCAGCGTCCCCGTGGGCCCTGGAGGAGGCGTCACCACCGCCTGGATGAGCTCATTGCCTCCAGCCACGCTGGGCGTCCCTGGGACCTCACGGTCAGCAGTAGCCCAACAGATGCTCCCAACTGGGGCCCTCAGCCCTTAGAAGCTGCACAGCCACCACCGAGCTCCCAGCACATGACCAAACCCGGCTGGGCGGCTGAGAATGGGGCACTCAAATGCCCACGCGTGGAGCCCAGCATCCTTGGGAAGGGTGGAACTAGGAGAGAGGGCACAGCATGGGTGCCCCAGCTGGCTGTGTGGGCAGGCTGTGCCCGGGACCTGTGCTGCTGGCGTCCTCAGGGAGGTGCAGGTGCAAAGGTCATGGCCAGGGGTCAGGCAGGCAGCTGGGGGTCCATGGTTGCTCTCTAAGGCAGCCCCTCCCAGACGTGCTCGTGTCTGAGCACCAATGGTGACAGTACACAAACACACATCAGTACCCAGGAACAGCACTGCGCCCACACCTCTGCAAGCCCGTCGGAGTTCCCGGCAGGCTGGGCCGGCCCGCTCAGCTAGGCCCCTGTGCGTGCCCTGGCCTGGAGCAGCCCTGAGGATCACCCAGCAGGGTTAGCCGCCTGCCCACTCCGAACAGCAAGCGCAGCTTGCCCTCTAGTGGCAATCAGACGCCACACAAATGCTCACCAATACATACATGCATGCCAACATGCAGGCTTGTGTGGGCACACACCTCACATGGGCACACGTGGGCACACACAATTCCTACATGTTCTGTGTGCAGTAGCCTGCTTGGTTCCCAGGCCAGAGCACAGCATGCTGGGATACCCGGAGGGTGATGTCACACCGCAAGCCCCAAGACCAGCAGCACCCAAGGCCTCGGCCCTTCCCACAGGCGCCCCTGCTGCCCATGGCTAGGGCAGTGTCCAAGCACGGAGCTGTGGGGCGCAGGTGGCTCGGCTAGGGGGCAGTGTCCGAGCACGGAGCTGTGGGGCGCAGGTGGCTCGGCTAGGGGGCAGTGTCCGAGCACGGAGCTGTGGGGCGCAGGTGGCTCGGCTAGGGGGCAGTGTCCGAGCACGGAGCTGTGGGGCACAGGTGGCTTGGCTAGGGGCAGTGTCTGAGGACGGAGCTGTGGGGCGCAGGTGGCATAGCTAAGGAGCGGTGTCCAAGCATGGAGTTGTCGGGCACAGGCAGGGTTGGCTTGGTTTGGACAGGGCAGAGGGGCGTCTTCATGCTGGGGTTCTGAGATGGAAGCCTCAGAGAAGTGCACTACGCCGCAGCCAGTCCCCCAGTCCATAGCTGCGCACATGGCCCGCGTTGATCACACACCTGGACATGTGTGGAAGACTAATTTCAATGGTGTCATTGCCTAGGACAGCCTGGCAACTGGGTGTTAGCCATGGTCACTGGGCAGTGTCCATCCCACTTTCAGGACACATGCCAGGCACCCTGCCCGTGTCCCTGTGGGCACTCCCCAGGGTGGCAGGGAGCTGAGCTATGTATGCACATCTGTAACCGGGCAGCCTCTCCAACAGTGGTGGCTTCCCCTGTGCCCTCCCCGCAAGCTATGAGCCCCTGTCCGCCCAGGGCCCTGTCTCGCGTGGCTCTCGCCTGTGCTCTGTCCTGCCCTCCCTGCTTCTGTGTACAGAGCCCCCTCCTCGCAGGCTTCTGAGGAAGTCACTCGCTCTGTGAGCTGTTGGGAGTGGGTGGGAGGAGCTCGGCAACCTCAGCCAGCAGCCAGGAGCATGTGGCATGGGAAGGCTCTGTAATATGCGTAAGCTGATTGGAGTGACAGACGGTGTCAGACCCTGTACTGGCACGCACACCCACAAATCAGGTCTGGGATCACCTCAGATGAAGTTTCTCTGGGGATCCCTCCAACTGAACTGCTGATCTCAGAACCCCAACCATGAAGGGACTATGTCAGCCAGTGGATTCTGAAGAGATTTCATCATGCTTGGAACAGCAAGATTGGCAGCAATTCAGAACTGATAAACTATCAAAACCACCTGAGCAGTGCCCTGGGAGCAGGCCCCACGTCGGGGACCTGGGATGGGTGGGGGGGCTGAGTGGGGCTTTTCCCTTTATCTCTCCCCGACCCCAGATACAGAGTAATAATATTAATGTGGGAAAAATTACTGAATTTTACTGTGTTCCCTTGTAACATTAAAAAAAGGCAGGCTCTGTAGAAGAAGCCTGAGGGGTGGGGCAGACGGCTCAGCGGACAGCCAGGGGGGTGAGTGAACGGAGGCACAGGGCATTGCTGAGGGGTGGGGCGGATGGACGGACGGGTGGTGGATGGACGGATTTGTTGGATGGATGGCTGGCTGGCTCAATGGAAGGATCAATCAATCAAGTGGACGCATGTGGGGGTGTGAGGGCTGGCCAGACGGGGCGGATGGAGGCACAGGGTTAGGCTGAGGCAATGGCAGCATGCAGAAGGGAAGGAGGTACAGTTGACCTGCTGCGAGAAAGCTCAGATACGCGTGGTCCACAGGTGGAGGAAAGCTGCTCCTACGGCGACGTCGTTGCTCACTCAGTAGATGTCAGCCACCTGAGCCATTACTACTCACACAGTGACCCAGTGTTGGTGGCACGCCGGGTGGCAGGCCAGGGCCCAGCGGTGCACACGGACAAGAGCACGTTCTGGGACCCATGCCCTCTCCCAGGAAGTCCAGGCCTGCTAGACGGGGGTAGGGAATGGCCAGCCGGGCCCAGCCGCCTCTCCTGAGCCCACGCCAAGCCTGCCCTGAGCAGGGCACCGTGAGGGGCACGCAGGGGAGAGGCTTCCCTGGAGGCAGAGCCACTGGTTCCCGTAGCGGGAAGTGTTGCCCTGCATGGCATGGAGCAAGGGGCAGGGGTCGACTCCGTGGGGTTCTGGACGCACGGTGGGGAGGAGAGCGCCTTCAGGGCTGCGGCTGGGGCAGTGTGTGAGGAGGGCCAAGTCACGGGGAGCCACAAGCCCTGCCCGCCTTTTCCATCGCTGGGAGGGCCTTCCGCATGTCCCTCTTGCCTCTCTCCTCGGTCTCCCCCTCACCCATAGGGAGGGGAGAGGCTGTGTGCAGGGAGGGGAGGGCTGTGTCTCCCCCATTGGCAGCTCTGACCTCAGGCCACCCCACACCTTACTGCCTGACTCCAGCAGCAGGTGTCACACAGGGCCCAGTGCCAGGTCACTCCATCCCGGGGCGGGCTCCTCAGATGCGGAGTGCCCACACTGCTCATCATAAACTACACTGTTCCCCACGCGTGTCCCCCCAGAAAGTCCAGCAGTACACGGTCATCATCCAGGCCACTGACATGGAGGGGAACCTCAACTATGGCCTCTCCAACACGGCCACGGCCATTATCACCGTGACAGACGTAAACGACAACCCGCCCGAGTTCACCAGCAGCACTGTGAGTCCCAGGGCCATGTGGGGGGAGGCGCCACTGCGTAGGGCAGAGGGCGAGGCCAGCTGGGAGGAGAGGTTGAGGGGGGATGGCACTGCCGTAGGAGGCATCAATATGAAATCGGATGGACTGACAGGCCTTTGGGCCAAGGAGCCAGCCACCAGGTGGTGTGCATGTGTCATGGGCGTGCAACATGAGTACGGGGCCTGAGCAGGGTCAGCAACTGCCCCGCACGGCCCCCATCATGACACAGGGAACTTCCCCGGGGCGGGGCTGGGCACCTGAGTGCCCTGGAGGACACCCCAAAGAATACAGCCATCGCTATCCTAGGGCCGCCAAACCCCGCCCAGTCGGAAGGCCCTCTCCATGCCCTGGGGAGCCCAGTGGTGGACAAGGGCGCTGGAGCCTCAGTGCCCAGGACATGCCTGGTGGCATAGTCAGACACCCCTCCTGCCGGTGGCCGACCCAGCCCGGCATCACCCAGCCACGCTGTCTGAGACCTCGAGGCCGTCAGGGCAGCAAGGTCTAAGAAGGCTGAGGACAGCCAGGCCCGCACCCATGAGATCTGCAGGACCCGTCTGCTGGGCCCTGCCCCTCCCAGGCCCTGTGCTTCTGGGACACATGTCTGGATGGCCCCTGCTGGCCTTGCAACAGCATCCAGCCCTGATGCCCACTGCCACGTCCAGCTCAGGTGTGAGGCAGGAGTGGGCTGTGGAGGCTGTGCCTCGACATGTCTCCTTGAGGGTAGAGCCGTGGAACCTGGGTTCCTGTGCCCAGGTGGAGGGGGTGAGGCCTGGCCTGCATGAAGTCACAGAGCGCCTTCCTGACCGCATACACCGGCTGGCGCCGGGGCCACCATCCGGGCCAGTGGGCAGCAGGCGGGCCTCGGACCCTACTGTCCAGGAGCACCAGAGGAGCGCTTTCCTTCACCAGCTCCTGAATCCCAATTCCTGCATTCCTAGGCGGGGGCCATCAGGGCTGCCTGTGTGCCCAGATGAGGGCCTCCCTGCTGGGCCACCACAGCCTGTCCCAGGTCCTGGAGGGGAAGCCCCTGGGCTGGCCTGGCCTCTGTGGGTGCTGTCCCGACCCTAGCTGAGGGCAGGTGTGATGGTGACCACCCCCCGGGGTCACAACACCCACCCTGCTCTCTGTGGGGTGCCATGAGCGCTGTGGTGGGATGAGACCCCCATGCTGGGAGTCACCAGGGAAGCATGGAGCCATGAGGCTGAGGAGTCACGTTCTGGCCCAGCCACCACAGCACAGCACCCGAGGCCAGGGTCGGTAGCAGCAGCTGTTGCCTGGCCAGCGCCCACCCCCTGGCACACCCTTGCTGAGCCCCTGGGACCAGAGCCCAGGGCCTGGGCACCAGGGCCACTGCCATGACTGCCCAAGAATAGGGTTGTCCTAAGCACCAGCATGCGGGCAGTGCCTGCCCAGTCCTGCCACGCCTGTCCTCACCAGGCCGTGAGCACAGCCCGGATCCCAAGTCTTTGTCCAGGCTTGACCCCACTTCCGTCTTGTATCTCAGGGACAGGACCTGCAACAGGATGGAAGGGTCCTTGGTGGAGAAGTCGAGGGACACAGCAGTCAGGCCACGGGCCGGGAGCCAGCCTTGGGGGATGCTGGGATCCCAGCTACGCGCGTAGGCCCACCTGGAGACGCATGCACACACATGCTGTGTCTCCCTGTTTCGCTGCAGTGGCAGGCACAGGAACCACAGCAGCCCGCGCCTTTAGTGGGAGCCTCAGGCCTTCTGGGCCCCCTGCTGCCCTCCGTGCCCAACCTGTCAGTCCCATGAACCTGCTGCCTGGGTCCTCTGTGCAGACAAGGGGCGCTTGGAGTGGTTTCTGAGAAAGGCCAAGAGTGTGCCCGGACCCAAGTGTGTGTGGGAATGTATGTGCACGCGTGCATGTGTGCCTGCATATGTGTGTGTGACACACACATGTGCAGGAGGCTTGGCTGAGTTGGGCGTGGGCAGACATGAACCGTGGTCTTGCTGCGGGACTGCACCGCACTGCACCAGCAGCAGCACTGCCGCGTCGGCCCACGCCTGTAACGCGCTCTCCCCTGCCATGTTCCAGTTCGTGGGGGAAGTCCCCGAGAACCGGGTGGAGACGGTGGTGGCGAACCTCACCGTGCTGGACCGCGACCAGCCACACTCGGCCAGCTGGAACGCCGTGTACCGTATCATCAGCGGGGACCCCTCAGGCCACTTCAGCGTGCGCACGGACCCCGTCAGCAACGAGGGCATGGTCACTGTGGTCAAGGTGAGGGCCACAGAAGCTCCTTGTGCGGCCTTGGCGGTTCCTCTGATCGAGTCCGCCCGCTCCAGTGTGAGTGCTGAGGGCAGACAGCGGCCTCCAGGATGCCTTCCTGCCCACCTGCCCCAGGGGCGGAGACCAGCCAGGGGCCAGTGGCTGTGCTTCCCCAACACGTGTACCACAAGAGCAGAGGCAGAACTGTGGACCGATGGGCGACAACCAGTGAGCTGGCCTGAGGCCATGCGTCATTGCCATCCACCCAAGGACGGCACATCAGGGTCCCGGTCCTCTCCCCTCTTGGGGTACAGTGATGCGTATCCCACAGGGCTGTCCCTGCACCCTGCTTAGCATGGATTCTCCCTCATCAGCTGGACCAAGCCACAGGTCCTAGTGCCCCACCACCACAGGCCGCCCACGGCTGAGCTGGGCAAGCTGAAGGCCCAGGCCTGGGTGAGAGGGTCGAGGGTCAGTGTGGAGTGGGGGAGCAGGGGCTACAAGGCAGGACCAGAGTCTCCCCCAGACTTGGCCTTCCCCCCATGATGCCCCAACCTCAGCCACAGGACATCTGACACCAGAGCCAGGGCCAAGTGTGTGTGGCCTCAGGACACTAGGCAGGACTGACCCGGCCGCCGGGCCCGAGGGCTCAGCACCTTGGGTCACCGCCTGTGGTCTCCTGTGTCCCAGCCCCATGATGTCCCGGTCACTGCAGGACCCTCAAGGAGGCCGGGCAGAGACAAGGGTGGCCTGGCTTCGTTTGATTTGTCATCAATAACACATGGCTTTTCTTTCAAAGATTTGTTTATTTTAAAGTGATTGGAGGCGAGCGAGCCATCTTGCCCCTGCTGGCTCACTCCCCAAAGGGCTGGGCCAGCCAGCACGGGGTCAGGCGGGAGCCAGGCACTCCACCCGGTCTCAGGTGGCTGGGCCCGCACTGCAGCCGCATCTGCCCTTCCGTTCCAGGCTGTTGACTACGAGCTCAACAGGGCCTTCATGCTGACCGTGGTGGTGTCCAACCAGGCCCCACTGGCCAGCGGCATCCAAATGTCCTTTCAGTCCACGGCAGGGGTGACCATCTCCGTGGTGGACATTAACGAGGCCCCCTACTTCCCCTCCAACCACAAGCTCATCCGCCTGGAGGAGGGCGTGCCCACAGGCACCGTGCTTACCACCTTCTCTGCCGTGGACCCCGACCGCTTCATGCAGCAGGCGGTGAGGTAGGTTGGCCCACACTGCAGCCCAGGCTGTCAGAGGGGCCAAGCAGGGTGGGGGCAGACACTCCTCCAGGGGAGCCCGGGCTGTCAGAGGGGCCGAGCAGGGTGGGGGGCCCGAGGCAATCCCCTCACTGCTCCTGTACACCCCCGCGCAGGTACTCCAAGCTGTCGGACCCGGCCAACTGGCTGCGCATCAATGCCACCAACGGCCAGGTCAGCACGGCCGCTGTCCTGGACCGCGAGTCTCTCTTCATCAACAACAACGTTTACGAAGCCACCTTCCTGGCGGCTGACAACGGTGCGTCCTGGCCACATGGCCGAGGCGGGCAGCCCCTCTGCCTGCCCTGTTCCTGCCCCGGGGTGGGCGCTCACTTGTCCCCGTGTGCTGTGGTCCTGAGCTGCCTCCTGGCCCCAGACCTGCAGCTAGCACGCATCCTCGGGCAGCTGGCCGCTGAGGACCTGCCCCGGGAGGCTGCAGGCCGGGCGTGGCCCGTGGGGCCTCAGTACACGTCTCACGGTGCAGGAGGGGCCCGGAAACAGGTGCTTCAGGGTTGGCAGCTCCCTGCTGCCTTCACGCCGTCCACCGGCACTGCTGGCCGGGGCCCAGGCTGGGTCAGCGGGGGAGCAGCCTGCACCCAGGGCCAGCTCTGGGGGCTACCTGCTTCATCTCGGCCACGTGCTGGCTCAGGGCTCCTGGTCACCCAGAGCCCCACAGAGCAGAGGCACAAGGGAGAGACTCAGCCTGAAGTCCAGGCTGGGGCAGACACAGGGCAGCGGCCTGCCTGCAGGGAGGGGACACGCAGAGGCTCCCAAGCCCCAGGCTGGGGTGGGTCCCCAGCAGCGGGGCCTGGGTGAACACCAGGACATGGTGCCCACTGTCCCACGGCCCCAGTCCGAGCGGTCGCCCCATGCCTGCAGGGATCCCCCCGGCCAGTGGCACAGGGACACTGCAGGTCTACCTCATTGACATCAACGACAACGCCCCCGAGCTGCTCCCCAAGGAGGCGCAGATCTGTGAGAAGCCCGGCCTGAATGCCATCAACATCACGGCGGCCGACGCCGACGTAGACCCCAACATCGGCCCCTATGTCTTCGAGCTGCCCTTCGTCCCAGCTGCTGTGCGCAAGAACTGGACCATCACACGCTTAAATGGTGAGGCCATGGCCACGCAGGAGCTGGGTTCTGCAGCACAGGCAGTAGACAGAGGGAGGGGGCAGTCCTGCAGGACAGGCAGTAGACAGAGGGAGGGGGCGGTCCTGCAGGACAGGCAGTAGACAGAGGGTGGGGGCGGTCCTGCAGGACAGGCAGCAGCCACACTGTAGGAACTGGGCCCCAGCCAGGCTGGCCCTGAGGCTGTTGGCAACTCCCAGGCCTCCCTATGGGGAAGGGCTGGCGAGCCCCAAGGTCTTCGGCCCCTCTGCACCCTCAAACCAACGTGGGGCCAACAGGCCTCGAGCAAGGTAGCCCATGACCCACTCCAGGGGGCCAGGATTCAGGCCCCACTCTGGGGTAGGGGATTCCTTACTAAGCCCCCACACGGGACACCTGCACTGGCCTGGCCCAGCACCGGCAGGTGCCAACACAAAACAGCCCTCGTCCTCTCTGCTCAGTTGTCAGGTGGCCTCTCAAATAACTGTTTTAAAGATTTAATTCCTGGAAAGAGTTGGACAAATGTGTAGAGAGCTCTTTCATCCACTGGTTCACTCCCCAAATGGTCGCAATGGCCGGGACTGGCCTAGAGCAAATCCAGGAGCCGGGAACTTCTGCATCCCCCACACGGGTGCAGGGTCCCAAGGCTTTGGGCCATCCTCAAACCCTTTCCCAAGCCACAAGCAGGGAGCTGGATGGGAAGCGGGACTGCCGGGATTGGAACCGGCACACATACGGGATCCTGGGCATGTGTGAGGTGAGGACTTCAGCCACTAGGCTATCATACTGGGCCCAAATAATTTTTTTGAGACACTATGCCAATTTTGTGGCCCGGGACAGTTTCCCAGCTACCCCATGCGAGGCCCGTACGCACGACTCAGCCCCTGCAGCAATGCAGGCCGCTAACGTGTGTTCACTGTCCGCCCAGGTGACTACGCCCAGCTGAGCCTGCGCCTCCTGTTCCTGGAGGCTGGAGTATACGAGGTCCCCGTCATCATCACCGACTCCGGGAACCCCCCACTGTCCAACATGTCCTTCATCAAGGTCAAGGTGTGCCCATGTGACGAGAACGGTGACTGCACTGCTGTCGGCGCCGTGGCGGCAGCCGGGCTGGGCACGGGCGCCATCATGGCCATCCTCATCTGTATCCTCATCCTGCTGAGTGAGTGAGGCGGGGGTGGGGACGGCTGCCCTCAGATCCCCATGGTAACGGAGGCGGCCCCAGAGCCCACGCCCCTCCCCACCCGCCCAGACACCCCACCGATGGCACTGGTGCACGCGGTGGACAAGTGTGCCCACTGGCTCCCCAACCCCAAACTCCCAGAAGCCCCTGGGTTCCCAGATGACAAAGGGGCCACCCCTTCCCAACATGGAGCCGTATTTTCTGCTCTCCTTGATTCTTGCCATAGCACGCTGTATCCGGAGCCCTCACGTGACCCCTCCCCCTGCTCAAGGGTACAGGGGGAGAGGGAAGGGCCAGCTGAGCCCCGCCCTAGGAACTGGGGGGCCACACCAGGCGTGTGTGTGCAGGCGTGCACCCACTCGGGTCCTGAACGTGGAGGTCACACAGGCCAACAGTACATCCTGGCACAACCAAGCGTGCGCACGCACGCACTCACACCTACACACGGGGCACTTGTGTGGGCATGTGCACGTTGGCACACACCGCTCATGCTTGCCATCCCCCCCAAAGCCCACATGTGCGCACACACACGCCACCTACGTGTTGGCCCTCCCCACAGCCATGGTCCTGCTGTTTGTCGTGTGGATGAAGCGGCGAGAGAAGGAGCGCCACGCCAAGCAGCTGCTCATCGACCCCGAGGACGACGTGCGCGATAACATCCTCAAATACGACGAGGAGGGCGGCGGCGAGGAGGACCAGGTGGGGGAGCGAGGGGGAGGGGCCAGGGCCAGGGAGGGAGGGGTCCACGCAGGGGTGAGGGGCCAGGGCCGGGCAGGGAGGGGTCCACGCAGGGGTGAGGGGCCAGGGCCAGGCACGGAGGTGTCTGCACAGGGGTGAGGGGCCAGGGCCAGGCAGGGAGGGGTCCGCGCAGGGGTGAGGGGCCAGGGCCAGGCAGGGAGGGGTCTGCACAGGGGTGAGGGGCCAGGCAGGGAGGGGTCCGCGCAGGGGTGAGGGGCCAGGGCCAGGCAGGGAGGGGTCTGCACAGGGGTGAGGGGCCAGGCAGGGAGGGGTCCGCGCAGGGGTGAGGGGCCAGGGCCAGGCAGGGAGGGGTCCACGCAGGGGTGAGGGGCCAGGGCCAGGCAGGGAGGGGTCTGCACAGGGGTGAGGGGCCAGGCAGGGAGGGGTCTGCACAGGGGTGAGGGGCCAGGGCCAGGGAGGGATGAGGCATGGGGGCCAGGACTGTGCAGGATGAGTCTGCCACGGAGCAGGGGCCCCACCCTCCTGGGGCCCTGCCCGCAGCACCTGAATCCTCAGGGGGACTCCCACTTGTCCTCCTCCCTTCTCTCCAGCACGACCCTTGCCCAGCACCCTGGAGGGAAGGGGCTTGAGGCAGCTGGGGACACCGAGGCACCCGACGCTGCTGGCACTGGGCCTGTAGGGCGGCCAGGCACCCGGGAGGGTGGAGTCTGGGGCCCCTGATGAGTAAGTGCAGGATGTCCGGGGGGCCCCGTTCCTGCTGTGAGCCTGCAGGGATGGGAGTGGGCAGGGCAGATGGCATGGACAGCAAGGGTCCTAGAGCAGGAGTGGGCGCTGGGGGTCCTCCAGGTGCTGCTCACACAAGCACCCCCTTGACCCCCAGGACTATGACCTCAGCCAGCTGCAGCAGCCTGAGGTGGCGGAGCACAGCCTGAGCAAGGCCCCCGGCGTGCGGCGGGTGGACGAGCGGCCCGTGGGCGCCGAGCCCCAGTACCCGGCCAGGCCCGTGGTGCCCCACCCGGGCGATATTGGCGACTTCATCAGCGAGGTGGGTGCTCCTCCGGCAGGGGCCACTCTGGAGAGTGACCAGCTACCCGTGGAGCGAGGACAGGGCAGGCCTCCCCACTCTGCCAGCGCAGGGCAGTCCCCTGGAACCCTTGGGTACAGCCCAGGAGCCCCAGCCAGCACAACCCTGCCCCCCACCAGGACCAGCACCTCAGGTCAAGCTGGGCACATGTGCTGCTGGGTGGGGAAGTTGGGGAGCACTCCATGGGGGCTCCTGAGAGCTCAGCAAAGCTGACCCTAGAGGAGATGCAAGGTGTGGCAGGGCGGGAGCCGGGGCGCCTGGGTCCCCGTTTTCCCTGGAATGAGCTGACCCGCTCTGGGCTGGGCCCCAGCCACACTGCCTGTGCCACAGCCATTTCTGGCCTGTCCTCCAGGCCCCGTGCGGCTGTCTCAGGCTCCTGGTCCCTCAGCACCTAGCATGCACCTGCTGGATGCAAGCCCCTCCCTTTCCGTCTCAGCTGGGCTACCCCCACCTTCCTACCCCCAAGCTCACCCCAGGTCTCTGGCCGCAGGGACTGCGAGCTGCTGACAATGACCCCACAGCACCCCCATATGACTCCCTGCTGGTCTTCGACTACGAGGGGAGTGGCTCCACCGCGGGCTCTGTCAGCTCCCTCAACTCGTCCAGTTCCGGGGACCAAGACTACGATTACCTCAATGACTGGGGACCCAGGTTCAAGAAGCTGGCGGACATGTACGGAGGCGGCGACGAGGACTAGCCCAGCCCGCGGCCCGGGCGGGGGGCCGGCCCGAGCGCGAGGCACTGAGGGATCACGCATCTCCCAGAGCAGCAGCACTGTTGAAAACGGAAGTGCCTTTGCGACCCGATTCCAGGCCCTCACCCCGCGGGGCACTGGGGCAGCCGGCCAGGCCATGCCCGCCCACCACGGCCCTGAGGATGCCAGCTCGGGCACGGGGCCTTTGCCTATTTCTCTTTGGTCTTTAAGAAGTGATTCCTCTGAAAAAGGAGTTAGGAGCCCAGATCCCGGCAACCCTGGCTGCAGGTGGGGTCTCCCTGGGGTGGGGGTCTCCAGTCACCCACAGGCCTCCCTCGAGGCCAGCTGCCACCCCAGAGCCCACTGCCCCAACCCCTTCTTGCCCTGCACAAGTGGTAGAGAGCTCACCCTTCCCCAAGGGCGGCACACAGCCCGGTCCCCGTGCAGGCACACTGGCCCCTTGGGCCCTGGTCCACGGGAGCCACGAGCTGGTGTGGACAGCTGGGGGGCCAGCCCATCCAGGGCCTCTGGGCTCCCAGGCCACAACCTGAACCCCTTCCTCAGAACCCATGCCAGGGAGTCAGCCGCTGCCTCCCCAACCCCTCCCCCAGGCAGCTTTGGCCTTGCAGACACAGAGTGGACACCTGTGCCACAGTCATGTCCCCACAGGACATCAGGGTTCCCCCCAGTCCCTGGCCCCAGGGCTGACCTGGATTACAGGCCCTTCACTGTCCACTCACCACCTGTAGATGCTGGGGGAGCGGGCACCCGCCCATGGGTCGCCTGCCACAAGCTGCCCACTCTCTGCACATGGCCAGGCTGGGCGCAGACTCTCACGTCCAGGGGCAGCCTGTGGGGCCAGGGGCCCCGGACCTGACAGCCCTAGGCTGTGCTATGCAAATTGCTGGGCCTGGCTGTCCAGGGCTGGGGAAGTCCCAGCTCTGCTCTGTGGAGTACAAGGGTGGGCGTGCAGGAGCCAGGCTCTCGGCCCACACGCCAGATTCGCCAGCTGCTGGGCACGGCTGTGGCCCCTCCCTTGCCCCTCCTCACTGCCAGCCCCCTCAAATTCAACCCCAATCCCACAGGTGGAGGCTGTGCCTCGGGGCCCAGCCTGGGGACACCCACAGCACCCCAGGTGGACAGTTGGTGCTGGCCAAGGTTCAGTGTGCCCTCCAGCTCTCGGCAGGGCCTGGCCAGGGCTGAGGGCATAAAGTCTTTTCCTGCAGTTCTTGTGCAACAGGGTGGCCGCAGTCCTGGGCCGCAGGGGCCTTCCCCCGCCTGGTGCCGGGCCGGCCACCTGCGAGGCCGGGACACCGTGGGCTCCTGACTGAGGGCTCCTAGCCCCGGAGCTGGGAAGGGCGTGCCAGGCTCCAGCCCCGCGGCCCGCACTCGGCAGGTGTACATAGGCAGGTCTTCTCGCGCAGGCCCGGGCACTGCTGCTTGGAGGACGTCTGCCTCTCCCTCCCTCCCGTTTCCATTTCTTTTGCATGTTTCTTTTGGAAAATGGACAAAAACGTGTAGCAGCCCGCATGACTGTGGTTGTCTTGGGAAGATGCCGGATATGACGTGCTCGCACTGCACCGTCACGCAGGTGTTCCATCTTTTTTTGTAATCGTCAACAGCACAACTATTTTGTATTGTCGTTTGTATCATTTTGTACCAAAAACAGAAACCAAAAAAAGGCAAAAAAAAAAAAAAAAAAGGCAGCGTGGATGTTTTGCAATGTGGTCTTCATGCCGGGCGGCGGCCACACGGGGCTGCAGTGTACGCTGTGCCAGAGAAGAAATAAAGCCCCTTTCACAGTCCCGTCTTCCTGTGTGCAGGGCGGGGTGCGCACGGCAGAAGGCGGGATGGGGCGGGGGTGGGAGGACCCGCAGTCCCCGCCCAGGTTCCCGACTGCGGGAACTCTTAGTGCAAACACTGGTGCCACATGGGTGGCGGGCACAGCAGACAAGGCTGCAGTCCCAGGCGGGCACTGGGTCCCGGCTGCTCCACTTCCATCCAGCTCCCTGCCCCCACGGGAGACCCAGAGGCGGCCACTGGCCCCAGCCCGGCCCAGCCCGGCCCAGCCCAGCCGCTGTGGCTCCTGGGCAAGGCAGAAGAGAGAGATCTCTCCTCCGTCCAACCCTTTCATACAAACAAGATGTTTAAGAACAAAGTGTTAAAAGGTCATGGAAAACATACTATGCAAAAACCATGAATGGTTAAAAAATGTTCTGCACCTTTAAAATAGAACTTTAGCGCCCTACGCAATAGCGTAGTGATTAAAGTCCTCGCCTTGCACGCACAGGGATCCCATATGGGTGCCGGTTCTAATCCCGGCAGCTCCACTTCCCATCCAGCTCCCTGCTTGTGGCCTGGGAAAGCAGTTGAGGACGGCCCAAAGCCTTGGGACCCTGCACCCACATGGGAGACCCAGAAGAGCTCCTGGCTCCTGCCTTCAGATTGGCTCAGCTCCAACAGTTGTGGCTGCTTGGGGAGTGAACCTTCAGATGAAAGATCTTCCTCTCTGTCTCTCCTCCTCTCTGTATATCTGCCTTTCCAATAAAAATAAATCTTTTTAAAAAATAGAACTTTAAATTCTACTTGTCCACAAACCCTCCGAGGCAAGCACAGGCACCCAGGAGGGCTCCCTGAGGGCAGTGGGTAGGCAAGGACCTGTGCCCAGGCCCTGACCACATGTGGTTCTCAGACACGCGACAGCACCACAGCCCACGGGACCAGCTCTGCCCCTGACCTCCACACACACAGCACACAGCAGGCTGGCACTCGGGCACCTGCAGCGAGGCCTGTGCGGACCCCAGGGGAGCGGCAGTACCCACAGCCCATCCCTGCAGCCTCTTCCATGTGTGTGTGGTATGGGGCTGTGGGCTGGCCCTGTGGCCCTGCCAGAGAGAGAGAGTGTATGTGTATGTGTGTGTCAAGGAGAAGGGGGCCCGGTCCTGTGTGTGTGTAGGGAGTTCATGGCCAGGGTGTGTGTGTGTGTGTGTGTGTGCGTGCGTGTGTGTGTGTTTGTGAGCAGGGGGCCTGAGCCCTGTGGCCTCCTCCTACCAGGGTAGGGAGTTCACGGCCAAGCAAGCAGCTATGAGGGGCCAGGGGAAACAGGTGCACACACAGGCCACTGACCCCAACACTGCTCAGTGCCAACCCTCCCAGCCACAGCCTATGCCATGGCCATAGCTCTAACCTGAGCCCCTAGGCCTCACCTGCCTCGGCCAGCTAATCCCGCAGCTCCAGCCGAGGTCCTGCACCATGTCCCCTCTTCCCACTGCCTCCCCCAGCCCTGGGCTGAGCCTCCTGGAACAGCCAGGCAAGGCAGGGCACTGCTAGCTTGCCCCTGGTGCCAGAGGCCTGGGTACCAGTGAGCACAGCCCAGCGATGATCTTCTCATGTGGACACTACACGCTGCAGTATGACCCGGCCTCCTCCCTGGCCGGAGCTGTCCCCTGCGACGACACAGCAGCTGGGGCCTGAGCCTGGCCTCACCCCCCTGGGGGAGCATGGACAGATCCCCAAACTCCCAGCGCAACACCTGGGCTCCCAGGGGCCGCCTGGCGTCCGGGAAGGGACTCAGTGAGAAGGAGGCGCAGGCCTCTTGCGTCCCTGCTCCCCCCAGTGGCTCAAGCACCAGCTTTAAATCCAGGCAGTGCCAGAGGGCGTCCCAGGGACACGGCAGCCACACGGCCCAGGGAATGGGGGGCTCCACAGAGACCCACGGAGAGCTCTGCCTCAGAGCTACCAAGAGGGCTCAAGTTCTCCCTCCACGTGCACGCCCACCTCTGGCCAGAGACATGTCTCTGCTGTCACCCACGGTGACCTGCCCAGGCCCCCAGCCAACACCCACGGTGACCAGCCCAGGCCCCCAGCCAACACCCACGGTGACCTGCCCAGGCCCCCAGCCAACACCCACGGTGACCTGCCCAGGCCCCCAGCCAACACCCACGGTGACCTGCCCAGGCCCCCAGCCAACACCCACAGTGACCAGCCCAGGCCCCCAGTCAACACCCACGGTGACCAGCCCAGGCCCCCAGCCAACACGCACGGTGACCAGCCCACATCCCAGGTGTCCACCCACAAGGCAGAGAGGTTCTTGCTGGACACCCCACAGGTGGCACCTGCTCTGTGTCCCTCCCTGCCCTCAGACCAGCCAAGCTTTCCCTTGCACTCCTGAGGGAGCACCACACAGCGAGCCCTGTGCAGCCCAGGCACCACTTGTCGGCTGTGGTGCTGCTGAAACTATACACACAATTCGGCAACCACTGGGCCCGGGGGGCCCCTCCCAGCTGCAGGTGCCTGCCCCAGCAGGCCCACTCTCCTCTGCACTGAGGAGGGCAGGTGGCCAGCTCACAGCACACAGCCCCATTGCTGCATGGGGCGGGGTGCCGCAGGCCTCGGTCCTCCCCTCTCCTGCCCTGTATGTGGACACAGCCTGCACACAGGCACTGCAGCAGGTGCAGGACCTCCACAGCTGGCCAGGACCTCCACAGCTGGCCAGCCCCAGTGACGCAGGCAGGAACCCCCACCAATGGCTGCAGGTTGGGTGCACCCACGCCCTATTGGGCCCAAGTACCCCCACACCCTCTTGGAGATGACCACAAGTGGATCCCACCTGTGGGCACTCCATGGCATCACCGCAGCCCCACCCAGAGTTTCAAGGACACCCAGCCAACCCTGTTCGTGGAGGAGGATTCCCCAGACACCTCCTCCTCCTCAGGCAGGCCCTGCCCACGCCACTGCCCACAAACAGGCACTAGCTGGCCGGGATGACTAGAGGGGCACCTGCCAGCTCGAGGCCTTCTGAGGGACCCCTATCAGCTCAAATCAGACACCCATTCTCCAAGTAGCATCCAGGGTCTGCCGGCAGTGTGGTCACCCATGACAGTCAGCACACATCACAGGTGTTCAGAGAGAAGTTCAGAAGGTACACACTGGCGCCCCAAAGCCAGGAGTGCTCCAAAGCTAGGGGTGCCCCCTCGCATTGCCTGCAGAGTCCCCTTGGCCGGTCCTCAAGCTTTGTCCCAACGCCCAGTGTCCGGCACAGGTCATTCACCCAGTGCACCCAGGGCTGACACCAAGGAGCCCAGCCTTCTGGTTCCTGTGGCCCTCACTCTCAAGTAAATGAACCTTTAAACACACTCGTGTCCTGGGCTGCCAGGTCTCGCTGGCTGACCCACCTGCAGAGCCTCTGGCATTCACAGGTGTCATCGCCCAGCTCCCGCAGCCATCTACGCTAAGGGACGCCCAGCGAGGGCCTGCTGCCTGCTCCGTGGTGTGCTGCCATGAGCTGGTCTTGTAGACACTGGCATGACCACCGCGTGAGGCGGACCCCCACGCTCCCGTTCACTTGGCCTCCACACGCCCTTCTGCCTCGGTGAAGGCGCTGCGTCCAGAGCATCCTCTCAACGTCAGTGCAGCTCCGGTCACCATCAGGTCCTCCGACACCTCGTGTCTCAAGACAAAAGAAGCAAAAACAGAAGCAGGAGCTCTGAGCAGCACCCTGCTCTGCCCGGGGTCCTGAGCAGCACACCGCCCTGCCCTGGGTCCTGAGCAGCACCCTGCCCTGCCCTGGGTCCTGAGCAGCACACGGCCCTGCCCTGGGTCCCGAGCAGCACACGGCCCTGCCCTGGGTCCTGAGCAGCACACCACCCTGCCCTGGGTCCTGAGCAGCACCCTGCCCTGCCCTGGGTCCTGAGCAGCACCCTGCCCTGCCCTGGGTCCTGAGCAGCACCCTGCCCTGGGTCCTGAGCAGCACACCGCCCTGCCCTGGGTCCTGAGCAGCACACGGCCCTGCCCTCGCCTACCGCCTGGATGGAAAGCCAAGTTCTCGCTGCAACCAGAGGACCTGTCCGGGACCCAACCCACACCCAACCCCGACACAAGCTCCCTCGTTCAGGCTCTCCCCAGGACCATGAACACCTGGACAGGTGGTGTGGGCATGGACCTGATCTCCGTTTGGCAGCCAAGGCCCAAAGGCTGCAGGGCTAGCAGCTCACCTGCACCACAGCTCCCTGCTGGGCAGCTAGGCCCCAGCACTGCTCCCTGCCGGAGTAGCAGGCCGCCCACAGGCCTGGCAGTCCACTCACATGGCACTTTCAGCCATGCACCAAGGCCAACTCACCTGACCACATCTTCCAACACTCATGGGCCACTGGGCTGCTGCTGGGGGCCAGGGGACAGCAGATACAGGGTGGGTGATATGTAAGGGAGGCAGTGTGGCTCTCAGCCCTCCCAGGCCGAGCGAGCAGACCCAGGACCACAGAATGGGGCTTCAGTGGGGACAAGCTACACCCCCAACAGAACAGCCCACAGCAGGCGGCCTCAAAGCTTGGCAACACGTGTCTGTCATGGCCATCGAAGGGGCCGGGCCCACCACTGGCACTCACCCGTGGACTCACTGGCCAAGGGGCCTCCCTGAGCCAGCCTCCTCCTGCCAGACAGCCCTGGGCTGACCGTCTCCTTGCCTGGCTCCCTGCGCCTGCCTCCCTCCGTCCTGCTGAGACCCATACACACATGCTACAAAGTGGCACAGCAGTGTCTGCTGGCTTCACTCGGCCAGGTGCCTACCAGAGAGGCCCAGAGGGGCCCTGGCTCAGCCTTGCTGGCAACCAGTGCTGCCGAGTCCAGAACATCAGCATCAGGCCAGCCAGCCTGGGATGTCGGCCAGGCCACAGCCCCTGCAACATCCCCAGCTCCCACTCCCACAGCTGGCCGCTAAGCAAGGATATGTCATTCCCACACAGCTTGATTCAAACCCTTCCCCATTGCCCCAGGAAGCCACAATGCATGTCTCCTGCCTTCTGCTGTGGACCCCCAGCCCACTGCATCACCCTGCACCTGCTGGCGGCCAAGGCCAAAGGCTGGGGGCGCAGTGCCCATGCCCTTGCAGCGTGACGCTACGGCAGCCCAGGGGCCTTCCCACGAGCCCTCCCAGGACTCTCCAAAGGTGCCACCTTCCTGGGTGTGCTACAGAACTCGACATGGTTCTAACGGCAGGGCCGATGGAAGCAGGGGCCCTCACCCCGTGCCATCCCCTCCAGAGCTGCATAGCCTCTGAGGTCAGCGTCCAAGCTGGAGGTCTCAGTGTAGCCGCCCGGGGTCCCGAGCACTGTGCAGTGGCCGTGCCCACCACAGACCTGCCGAGTCCCTGACAGGGCCAGCTAGGGTGAGGCTTGGATCTCTGTGGATAGAAACTGCTGTCACTGGGCGCAACTCCCATGCCACGAACTTGGGGTTCCTCCTCACCTTGCCTGACTCAGCCTAAAGGTCTCGCTGAACACCGCCGGGGTTCAGCCACAGCTCTCCACCACCGTCGTCGGCATAAGAGAGCCGGCAGCGTGTCACCGCCGGCTCCCCGGCTCCTGCTGCACACAGCCGCGCCCGGGGTGCTCTCTGCCTTTCTCCTCTTCCTCATCTGGCACACATCTCGGTCACATCACCCACCTGCCACACAGGACAGACTGCATCTAGAGCGTCACACACCACACGCTGCCTGCCACACGTGAGTCACACCGCAGTACCCCCAACAGCCCATGCCCTTGCCCACTGCCAGGCGGCAATGCAAGCAGCGGGCACTCAGCCCGGGACTCTGGTCACAGCCCAGTCACAGCCACATAGCCACATCTACCATCCTGTGTGGACTTGCCCAAGCTGCCCGAGGTGCCAAGGACCGCAGGCAAGCCTGTGCAGACGCGGGGCTGCCCTCAGAACCCAGCACAGGACGGGGGCACCCCACCCTGACCCAGCATGACCCATGTCTACACACATGCCAGGCGCACACAGATTTCGCCCATCGAGGGCTCTCAGCTGCAGCCCAGCAGAGCTGCAGGCCTGACCAGAGGCATTCTGCAGTGGCCTCCCCTGCGTCCCAGGCGAGCCGCACGCACCGTGCCCTGAAGGCAGCTCGGGGCTTTGTGCTGCAGAGCCCACCCCAGCTCGTGACCACGGCAGGATGCGAACGTGCGAAGAGCCGACAACATACGTACAGATAAAGTTGTTTTTAATAAAGGAGTTAATTTTCTTTCAATCCTATATAAAACAATAGCAATTAAAAACTTCATTTTTCAAAGTAAAATATTTACATATGAACAAGTAACTGTGCAAAATTTACATGAAAAATGGAAAGACGGGGATTTCCTAAAAGACAAACGAAAAGGCTGTAACAGTTCTCAGGTGTCGGTGGAAAATACTGACCGGCTGCCTGGGCTCGCGCGCGGCTGGTCGCACGTGGGCCACACGAGCCAGGTTGTGTACAGTCATAAAAGCGCTATCCATAGACAATTTAATACAATAACCTCTGAAAATAGAAAGAACCAATTAGTATATCTGTCATAAAAAAATAGGTACAAAGAAGGGGCTTGGCTCCGGACGCCTGCAAAGTCGGCCCCAGCTTGCATACAGTCTTAGCAAAATAATTGTAGTTTACACGCCGTGTGTGCACCCCGAGCCAGACGTGTACACCGCGACAGGACACACCGACATCTCCCACACTTGATTCACTGCGACGACAGGCCTCCGATGATTCCTCTCAACTCTGATTTTATTTCATCTAAGTTTCCACTTTGAGCTAAAAAACACAGTGCAAGTAAAATATATTTATGCTGAAAAGGTTTCCATCTTTTCACGTTACAGCTTTACAGACCCGGCAGGGGCGGCGCCCACGACGCTGCCCACGGTCTGGCCGCGGAGCTACAGTGACCTGCTGTGCCTCCAGGGTCTCACCGGGCGGGCGGGGCGGGGGCGGAGGCTAAAAAATCAGTTTGCTTTGCCAACTGACTCTAAGCAACATAAAACAAAGGCGGTGAGGTCGCCGGCTGCAGACGCGTCCACACGGGCTGAACACACGCGGCCGGGGCGGCGCGCTCGGCGGCTCCGTCAGTCTATATATATGGCTTGTTTGGCAAGAAGGCCACTCACTCAGAGCTGAGTTAGGGTTCGGCTGTCCTGTGAGAGTCCCGGGCCTCGTGTTCTCTGTTACAGAGACGGGTTGCTCTCGTACTGAAGAGCGGATTCAGAAAGCGGTCCCGCCCAAAGGGAGCTGCTGGGCTCGCACAGAGGGGGCACGTGCAGAGCCAGCAGCCGTCCGCGCAGCCGTGTCACTTAAGGAGCGCCTTGTAGAGCAGCAGGGAGTGGCTGCTCTCCCGCTCATTTTCTAAACAGAATATGAGGTCCCTGAGGTTGACCCGCGTGATTCTCTGCCGCGTGAACTGCCTGGGGGTTCCGACGCCGGAGCTGCCTGGGACCGCTGAGCCCGGGCCCGCGCCCTGGTGACAAGAAAGCACAAGACAGGCGAGTTAGTGGTGCCAGGGGCAGGTGCCCAACAAGAGGGACTGGAAGGGGCCCCCACGGCGCACGCTCAGACACCAGCCCTCGGCGACCCCACAGCTAGCACCTGGCCCTCCATAGAACCACGGCACAGCTGCCCAGCAGGTGCAGCTGGGGATCCGAGCCCACCCAGGGCCGCTCCAAAGGCCGGCTGCGTCATCCCACGTGGCCGCTACACACACTGGGCCTGGGCCTGCCTTCCCGGCCTGGGTAAACTGGTGCTGAGCAGGGAAGGGACGAAGGCTCAGTGGTTACAGTGGACAGTTCGGGCCCGAGAGTGGCCCCCTGGCCCACAGTCACCCAGCACCACCAGGCCCTGGGGCAGCCTGCTATCCATGGAGCTGTTGCGGGCACCCTCGACCCAGACAGTTGCTGTAGGCAGGCTTGGAGCGAGTGCGGCGTCACACGAGGCAGCAGGGTCCACACGCCGAGGGGGGAAGCAGTTCCGGCACGCTTGAGCAGACACGGCCACTGAGTCCTCATGGCATTCGCATAGTCGGAGGCGCCCAGGAGTTCTGCCAGGGCACTGCCAAGGCTGGTGGGGCAGGAGAAGCCCCAGGCCTGCGCCGAACACTGCCCACGCCTGGGTTGGTCCAGGTCCAGTTGGGGCAGGCCACTGCTCCGGCTTGGCAAGTCTCAAAACAGGCTGGTGTGGCTGCAGCCCTCGGCCCCAGCTTCTTCACAGACAGGTGCCAGACGAGGAGAGCAGGCCACCTTCGGGTGCCTGAACCCCGATCTGAGCCCCGATGCAGACCCACTCCTTCTGGCCTCGCAGGCAGGTGCCGGCTGCAGGGACTCCGTGGTCACAGCAGGCTCAGAGCAGCTTCAAGTCCCATCCTCCAGTGGCCTCGGCGCAGGAAGAAGGGGAGCCCCTGCCCGGGAGCGCCCTCTGGCGGCTTGGAACAATGGCACCAGCGACCAAGAGCAGGCCACCTGCGGGCTGGGCTCCAAGCCTGTCCGTGGCGGGCCAATGTGTAGCCTACGGCGGCAAGGCTCCAGGGCTTCCTCACGCAGTCACCACACGTGACCTCAGGGCTCAGCACACAGCCCGGCTGGCACATGGGGGGGGGGGGGCCCACGGGGAGGTGGCCACCTGCAGGCCACCGCCTTATGCAGCATATCTGCTCTCTGAGCCCAAGAGCTGGCGCCAGGGCAAGGCGTTAAGTTTACAGGGTGCTACAAGTCAGAAATCAGATAAGCAAGATTTCAATGCAATCTTTTCTTGAGATTAGACTGATGCCCCAACTGGCCCACCAGCCAAAGCTAACTCCCCCATCTCCTGGGGCCCACGAGGTGGCGTCAACCTGCCTGCCGAGCAGTGACAGCATGGAGGGCCCCGTCTGCACTCAGGGACCATCGGCAAAGTCTGAACACGGAGCTCAACCAGCCTGTGGACTCCCAGGTCAGCAAAGCAGACCCACCCTGAATCCCACCTCGGGGGCTCTGTCGGCCAACCCCTGCCACACCAGCAGTGCTGCCTTCTCATCTTCCCAGTGTGCAAACTAGGCAGGACCAGACCAGCTAGCGGGGGTCAGGGCCATGCTGGGAAGCCCAGGAGGACACTCCTGCGGGGCAGGGCTGGACATGACCCTGGCAAAGATTTGAGCTGACAGAAGTGCCAGGGCCAGCACCCCATGAGGCCCTCCACACGGCAGGCCCATGTCTTCCCCACCAGGGGCAGGTCTGGAGCAAGTGGCAGCGGGAGGCAGTTTCACAGCTCACACGAACCAGCCCAAAGGTCAGGTCCCACCACCCCACGCACCCGGGGCCGTCACCCAGGACGGGGGAAGACAGCTCCAGTGGGCTTCTAGTTAGCACACAGCCAGCAGCACCCAGGGCTGGTCATCCATTGGCGGTGCCACGGGTCCACTGTCCACAGCAGGCTGCAGAATGGACGCCAGTCCAGAGGCCATGGCTGAGGTGGCCTGCCCGTCCCCCAGCACTGCCTCAGAGGGAGACACGACAAGAGGAGGGAGTCACCCTGCACGCGCCTCCTGGAGGAGCCTGTGCTGCAGCAACGGAAGCCCCTGTATGCAGTGCCGGCACCCGGTGCTCCAGGGCAGCTCGAGTCCCAGCTGATCTGACCCTGCCTCCCTGGACAGTGGCATGCAGATGGTGCCCCAGGCTCCTGGCTCAGCCTGGCCAGCACTACCCACTGAGGCCATGTACAGAGTGACCCCCGATGAAAGACAGAAGATGACAAAATCGCCCCACCTTGGCTCTAGCACTTTGTCTTTCAAATAATCAAACAGCACAGAAGAACACCTGCGAGCGGCCCGGGCCAGACCCCGGGAAGGGCCGAGCCCACACGGATCCCAGACCCCGGGAAGGGCCGAGCCCACGATGAACGGGCGGTGGGCCGCAGGGCCGAGCCCACACAGACGCAGGATCCAACCAGCCAGCACAGGCACAAAAGGTCCACTCCTGCACTTCGCGAGTCTGTCAGGAGAGGGCGCCTCGACACCACGGACCCTGGAAGGCGGCAGCGCAGTGCTGGGGGGCAGGCAGAGCACACACCTGCAGGAAAGCTGCACCCGTGACCGTATCCATGGAAACGAGACCACCCTGATGCCTCCAAGCATGGAAGGAAAAGCCTGTGGGGACCAGAGACAGGAGTAGGGGGCCAGGCTCGGGGCCGAGGAGAGCAAGAACTTGGCTTTGATCACAGCGACCAGCCTGTCGCTGTGGGTCCCTTCCATACAGCTCCAACTCTTGGCACATGGCAATGCTCAGATGGGGGGATTCCCGGGAGAAACACAAGGCAAAGGGGCCAGCATGGCTGCGGGGGGCAGCTGGGGATCGGCCACCCCGAGAGGGTGCCCGTGTGCACTTCCACGCCCCTTGAGGCGAGCAGCTCTAAGCCTGCTGCAGCTATCGGCTATCACAGCCAAGGCCACCTGGACGCCCGGGGAGACACGGGCTCCCCCCACGGACTGCTCGGCAGGGCCCACACAGCTGGCAAGATCAGCTTGGGCCTGGGAGGGTGCCCCAGCTCAGCTCCCGGGAGCCCCAAGCACCCCTTACCCCCACTCTCCCCCCCACACCCCCACTCCCACCAGCACTTCAGACACACTGCTATGGCAAGAGGGCTGAGGAACGAGAAAGCTCCCAGAGACCCACGCCATCTGAACAGCAAAGGCCACCGACGGTTTTAATGCGCCGTGGGAGACCCCGCCCACGCACACCACTGGAAACGCAACACGAGACACCGCCGGGCAGGAGAGAGCACGGAGAAGGGGCTGTGCTGCTGCGGCCCTGCAGCCGACCCAGGCCTCTCCCAGGACGCCCGGGAAGCTCACTTCCTGCCAGCATGGTGCAGCCCGGGTGACAAGCAGGTGGGGGGGGCGGAGCAGCACACACAGGGCCCACACCTCCAGTGCCCACACCACGAACGGTCCTTCTGACACAGCTGCTGTCCCGCACTCCCATATTTCAATGGTTTCAATGCCATTTTGGAGTGGGCCCCATAGGCTGCAAAGTCGCCACACATCAGGCCCAGCTCAGGCGTGGGCTGCTATTCCAAAGCTCCTGCCCACGATGCCAGTCAGTGTCCCAGCTGGTGAGCCAGCTCCCTGCAGACACGCCTGGGAGGCAGCAGAAATGTCCCTGGCACGCGGGAGACCAAATGGAGCCCACACTTTCTGGGCTGCCCTTCCCAACTCACAGTCCTGCCCCACAGCCTGCATGCCACCTCTCCCCGGGGGCCACATCTGCCCAGAGCCCCAAGGTCAGAGACACCAGGGCAACAGAGACCTCGCACACTGCCAAGGTCACTGTGTGGGCCCTGCCTCAGATCACCTCCTCTCCACACAGCAGGTACGCAGATAATAGCCACTCCACGGCTGGGATGGGACCCCCCCCCAAACCTGAGCACCATGACCCGTACCCCACAAACACCAAGTCAGGCCCACACACTTGAGAGGCCTCAGACCAGGCTCAGACTGGGAGTTGGGGTCAACAAAGTGAGAAAGCCACCCGGAAGCAGGGGCCTCAGCATGCCCCCCAGAAGGCCCACCCAGGATTCCAGCGGCTGTCAGACATGCAAAGCACCGACACCACAGCCCCAAGTGCAAGGAGAGACCCAAGGCCCCCGAGGCCCCTAGCTGCACCCAGGTGGGCCCACGCGGGCACTGAGCTTTGGAAAAGCAGCTTTCATTCATTCGCCTCGAGAATGAGCAGCACACACACTGGTTAGCGAGCAGGCAGGCCCTCGGCAGCTCACGGGAGCCAGAGAACCAGGTGGAAAGCCTGCAAAGGCACTTGGGCAACACCCGCACCACACATCCGAGCAGGGCACGGCACATCTGAGGAGGGCACAGGGCATCCAAGGAGGGCATGGGACGTCCAAGGAGGGTCTGGCGTGTCCAAGGAGGGCACAGTGTGTCCAGGCAGGGCACGGCACATCCAAGGAGGGTACACAATCGAAGGACCTGGAGTGGTCCCATGCGTATTCCTGGCCCAAGAAGCTGACGCTGAGGCCAGCATCTCTGCACGCACCCTCTGCCCTGCCCAGTTCCACAGCGGAGCCCTGTCGCCCACCCTGCCAGTACCTCTGCACCCGCTGTGGAGCCTGGCCAGTCTGCTCTCCTCTTCTTACGGGGGCCGATGGCAGCCAGCGCGGTCAAGTTGGCATCACGCTGCCTCAACTGTGCCAGCTCCTGCTGCTGCATCTGGGGCAAGAGCGGGAGGAAGTGGGGTCACCTTTCATTACCACAGAAGCAGAAACAAAGTCCCCCAAGGAGCCCTCACATTCCGGCTTGTGTGCGTTCACACTTCTTCCACCGTGAGCGTCTTCTGTCAATGAGAAACAGCAGCACTTCTCAAAGTGGATGACGCTCACGTGAAGAGTCAGAAATATGGACCAGTTCTGAGCGTCAAGCTGCACATCTCCGCAGAGGCCACGCTCTCCCGCACGCGGCACTACCCACGCCCGGGGGGGCGCTGGGGGCAAGTCCGGATGTGGACCCACACGCTGGGGCCCCGCCCTCACCTCTTTCGCCTTCTGCTTCAGCCTCAGCTGCTCGGGGTCTTCTTGTCTGGATCGAGACTGTCGTTCAAAGCAGCAGAAAGACACAAGTCATGACCGAGGGTTCACGTGCGGCTCAGCCACCACCAGTCAACAAACATGTCCTCTGACACGCGAGGCTGCGTGGTCAGCTGCCCATGGCACGCGTGGAAACGAGAAAGCGAGATGCAATCCCACAGGGTGCGAGCCAGACTTGGGGGCTGCCCACTGCCCGGCCTGGCCACTGGGCCCAGCTGCCACCCTTTGCTCCGGGAGGGATGTGGCTGTGCAGTCCCGCCCGCGCCCGCGTGAGCCGCCGCACACTTGCCTTAGCCGCACGCATCAGGATCTCACGCTCCTGTTCGTCCTTCCTCTGCTTCTCGATCTGATCGAGCTGCTCGAAGAACTTGAGCTGCGCCCGGACGTCACTCGCCTGCTCGTACCTGTCGTCGTCCTGCGGGAGAACGCAGCCACGCTGAGCCTGGAGCCGGGGCCACGCACCCCCTCCGGCTGCCCCGGACACAGGCGCCTGCACCTCACACATGCCCGCAGGGATTCTAGAACCCGCAGACCCGTGTCAAGGGCATCCTTGACACTGCTCTGAGGCTGGGACCCCAGGGCTGTGGGAGGGACACCTCCAGGCCGGCAGGTGCCCTCCTGCTGGCCGCCTGCTGGCCGCCTGCTGGCCCGGGGAAGGCGCGGCCACAGCCGCGGGCCGGGGCTGGCAATGGCGAAGCCGCTCCCGGCAGGCTACCTTGTAAGAGAAGTTCTTCTGCTGCGCCGTCTCTGATATTCTCTCCACGAGGTTCTGCAGCCGCTGCTGCGTGGCGTGTGACACATAGCTCACAACGTCCGGGTGCAGCTCCGTGATGCCATGCTTCTTACCTGCAGCCCAGGGGACAGGAAGCAAGCGTGTCGTGTGGAGCCAGGGCAGCACTGCCTGCCTCACCTCTCGCCGCTGCCCTGTGCTCTACCACCTCAGGGCAACCCAGCCAGGACCACCAGTTCACCAGTGCCGAGCACGGCAGGCATGGCCTGCTGCCCTCAGCCACCAGCAGAGGGCAGACCAAACTCAGACACGGGTGCTCCCAGGAGCTGCCCAGCGCCCACCTGCCTGGTTCTGACCTATCTTTTAAACTCTCCCGGGAGCTGCCCAGTGTCCACTTGCCTATTTCTAATATTCTTCTTTGCAAAGGCGCCGGGAGGAGAAAGGTCTCGTCTTTGCAGGACCGAGTCAGCGTCCCCACAATTTCCGAGTTTGTGGCTAATATTCTCGCACTTTCTTCTGACAGATTTACTCCAGCCATCGATGCCACATCATTAATGTCGTCGTCGTCCCTTGAGAAAAACAGATCGGATCGTCACAGCAGGTGGAGGAGAGGCTCCGGCCTCCTGCTGGAAAGGCCCAGCACCTGCACCGGCTGCCCGGGGCACTCCATCTGCTTCGAGGAAGACCTGCATGGGGTCACAGCCGAGCTGCAGCACGTCACCAGCAGCCAAGAATCACAAAGCTCGAGCACGTGCCCACTGCTCTCCAGGCTCACTCCACCCGACTCTCCTAGTGCCCCAGCCAGAAGCTGGAGCAGTCGGGGCGTCTGCCCACCTGGCCAAGGGGAGCCCCCACGTGGCACAAGAAGCTGATCGCCCACACACTGCTGCCCACAGCCACCATCCTGGCAACTGCCCCAGGACATCTCCTGTCCCTTGCTGTGGTCACTACCACAGGCAGCAGCACACATTCCCACCATTCACAGCCGAAGGTCACTGGCCAGCTGTCCCCAGGAGTCCTCGCTACGGTGGCCTGAGCCCCAGAGGCAGCAGCCGTGGAAAGACTCCTCCATGCTGTCTGCCAGCCACACAGCACTGCGCATGCTGACCCCAGGCGGGGGCTGCCCCGGGGCCCCAGGGGACACGCTCTGGGTCCTCCCAACAGCACGAAGTCACCTGCTACTGGGGCAGCCGTCACCTCGCTGGGATCCCCCACCTGTCACCCTCGAGCACCACAGCCCAGGCCAGCCACGTACTCTGCCTTCCCTGGTCCCCCCCGTCATCCATACCCAGCAGTGCTGTCACCCAGAGTCTGTGCCAGCCTGCCCAGGCTCATGCAGCACCTGCCCATGCCACTCAAATAGAGGAACCCTGGCTGCCAGCGGCCCCCTACACTCCTGACTCCAATCCTCAAGGAACTGAGTTCCTTTCTGCACCCCATGCTCCCTAGTCCCCACTCCCTGACCACACTGTCCACATGGGGAGGACAGGGGATCAGGAAGCCTCTGAGGCCGAGTGTACCTTTCTCCCCACCATGGCCCCTCCTGCCCATGGCCTGGGAACCCCCGACCCAAGGGGGCTCCTCGGGGTGCTGACGCCAAGTGAACGGCAAGTGTATGCACTACCACTCAAGGGGCTAATGAAACAGTTTATCTGTTCACACACAGAAGCCCCAGGGACCGCCGAGGTGACACCGATGAAGTCCCCCCTCACCAGGGCTCCAGTTCCAGCCCCAGCTGTCTGGCTTCGCCCACCTCCCTGCTAATGTGCCTAGGAAAGCAGCAGGGATGGCCGAGTACCTGGGGCCCTGCTGTCCACATGGGAGACCGGAGGGGGCCCCGGCCCCAGCCTCATCCTGGTCCAGCCCCCACCAGCACCGCCACAGACGGAAGGTCTGCCACTCCCCCAATCCCACTCAGGCGGCATCCTCGAGGCAACCCCCCACACATGTGCCCCACTCAGGTAGGGAGAAGCAGTCTGCAGCCGCAGGAGCCCTGGGCTGAAGGCCCAAGCAGGCCCCGAGAGCCCGAGCAAGCCACGGCCAGCTCCCCACTGACCCCACGGCGGGGCAGCGCTTACCGGAAGGACCCGCCCCCAGGCTCCTTCAGCTTGTGCTTCTGCGCAGCGGCCGCCTGGGCTGACACGGTAGACAGGGCTTTGGTTCCAGGTAACACAGCGGGCTTGACCACGGGGACTGCAAGACACGGGCAATCCCACGAGGCTGTCGGCAGGCCCTGCCCGGGAGCTCACTCCCGCCTCACTGGCTGCAGTGAAGGGTTTCAGAACTTTGGCTCAACCCGAACTCCACTGCAAGGGACCTCTCAGGACTTTCTCCATCTCATCAACCATTCCACATGCAGAGTCGTGTGGGACAAAGGCACACAGCGTCAGTGGCCCTGGTGCACGCCGCGCTCACCGAGCCAGCACGCACACGCTGCGCCCGGGCCTCACCTGGCTGCAGCTGGCTCAGCTGGACCTGCTGCGGGGCGGTCAGCATGATGCGGCTGTGAGGCTGCCGCAGGGCGACCATGGGCGTCTGTGTCAGCGTCACCTGTGGGGGCCGGATCAGGGCTCCTGGCTTCGAGGGTTGCTGGATGACCTGTGGCAGAGCCAGGGAGGGAGGTGAGCACATGGCCCCCGACCCCGTCCCACACGCAGCTGGCAGGATCGGCGCAGGGGCAGACGGGGAGGTGCCCCCGCCAGGTGCCACAGCAGCTCAAGCAGCGTCCCTGCCAGAGCAACCCAGGGCCCTGAGGGTTGCTGCGAGGCCAGGCTCCAAGCGGCTTCCTAGGCACTGGTAGGGGACCCCCTCTTGAGAGTTGAGTAGTTTCCTGGGCTTTGATCCTGCAGGTGGATGAGTCCTGCCTGAAAAGTGGCTCAACCACGCCCACCAGGCCTGCCACTCTCACACCCTGGTCCTCCCAAGCCCACCTCACCTGCACTTCTAGCGACCCCACTGCCCGAGCCATGGACCCTGCCCCCAGATATAACCTGACCCCTAACAAAAGCCACAAAGCTCAAGCCTGCGAGGCCTCGCCTTCAACCACAAGTCTGGCACTCGTGTCTGACCCTCACAAAGGTGCCTGGGGTGCACCCAGCAGAAACAGGAAGCTGTGCAGACATCATAATGTCACAGGACACCAGCGGGGACACCCCAACATAGGGTGTCACCCTGACGTGACAAGGCCCCAGCGGGGACACCCCACCATCACGGGGTGCCAGCAGAGGAGCCGCACACTGGCAGCTAACACGGGCTTTAATTCCTGCTAAGGGCTCTGCTTCCCACGCAGGAAAAAGCTGCTGGTGCTCCCAGCAGGAAGTGGGGCACCAGTGCCTGAGGCAGCAAGCACGCACTCCAGCACCAGGTCAGGGCCTGGCAAGAGGCCCGACTCCCACCCTCGGGGCCATGGCAGCCCTGCCCTCACACTGCACCAAGCAGGGGGCCCTGCCCGGGATGCCCACGCTCTGCTGCCCCCTCCCTCAGGGGCCTGGTACTGCCCGGGATGCCCACGCTCTGCTGCCCATGTTTCCTGCCTCTCTTCCTCTCCACCCATCAGGCATGCCATACCTAAGGGCTTCTGATCCTGCGGGCACTGAGACCCTCGGCCCGCCACACACACTCATTCCAGTTCTGAGCTGTCTTTAGAGGAACAGCACCCTATTGGTGTTTAAGAAACACCACCAGGCTGCCAGCGGCCCCCTCTGCCCAGGGGCAGACACGCTTTCGCCCTCTCTGCCCAGCGCATTCTGCCTCCGTTTGGACTGCGTGGCTGACAAAGCCAAGTCCAGGCCATTCTGGGTACACCACGCAGGTGGGCCCTCTTATCATGAACCATTAGACCAACACTACAGCCTCACACAGGCTCAGCCAGAGGACCAATGCTTGCCTTACCATTCTTCCCCTGCCCCCCAGGGCCTCGCCCATGACCAGAGGGCATGTGCCTGGGGCACATTTCATACAGTAATGCCCACCCCGGATGCACCCCCAGCCCAGCCCCCTCACAGCGCCGTCTGGGCAGCTGGCCTTGCCGTGCATACCAGCGGGGCGGGCTGCGCCTGCTTGCCCACGCCGACCTGCGTGGGCTGGGCAAGGCTGATGACGGGGGGCTGCAGGGCGTTGGTCACGGTGGCCGCGGTCTTCCCCGCCGGGCGCTGCCCCGAGCTGCTCAGGACCACGGCCGTGAGCGCGGTGGTGGCCTGTGAGGCGGGCGACGGCTGCTGCTGGCTCTGCTGGATGAAGGCCGCCGAGTCGGGGGTCAGCTGTCTTAATGCAGGCAGGCTCCTCTGCAGGGACACACAGGAGGAAGGGTTCAGAAGCGGACCAGGCAGCCCGCCCCACTGAAGGAACAGGCTCCCAGCCCAAGGGGACATTCTGAGGTCAGGCCTCTACATCTGCCAAGGTCTCCCCTCCTGCCACCAGCACACTTTAAAACAAGGTGGCAGCGACAGCAGGGTCAGTGTTCAGGGCACTGCTCCAAGGCAGCACAGACGGCTCCCATCCCCAGGCCTCTGCCCCGAGGTGGGCGCCCAGATGGAGTTCTGGACTCCCCACTCCGCCTGGCCCCCACAGCCATGGCGGTCAGCTGGTGGGGGAAGCGACAGGCAGTCTCTGGCTCTGGCTCTCCAAAACATGAAATACAATCAAGAAACAGCAGCACTGCTTAACACAGTGAAGGCCTAGACACGGCCTGGAGCCGCGGGCACCACCGCCCAGCAGCACGGCCTCGCTGGGCAGCCTGGGCACCTGCTGCTTACCTTCAGGAAAGGCACAAGGTAAGGTTGAGGTGAAGAGTTAAGTTCTCGGTATAACCTGCTAGTGAAATCTTCAGCTTCGATTTTTCCATCCTTAAAAACAAGAGCCACATTGAAACCAGTGAACAGAGGCTCATGGACGCACCTCCACACAGCACCAAGTGGCCTCACCTGCCCCCTTCAACTGCTGGAGGAGACAGGGGTTGCCAAGCTGTGCTCGCTGCACAGACCCCAACTTCACTCCCAGCCCCATCCGAGCCAGGAGCCTGCAAGGCCAGGGCAGCTTCTGCAAGGGGCCGTCCCTGCCCACACCTGCAAAGGGCTCAAGATGCAGCAGCCTGGTACAGAGTAACCAAGAGAGCCCAGAGCACAAGGGACCAATTCCTCTCAAGAAACTCAAGCTTGCAACAAACAAGTGAGATGGGCAGGGACCAGCAGCACGGCGTATTGGCTGCACCTAAGGAGCCCTGGCAACCACAGCGAGGACCTGGCAACCACAGCGAGGACCTGGGGGCAGAGGCAACGCCAGGCCACAGCGAGGACACAAGCACCCAAGCTCTGACCCAGAACATAGAAACCGAGCATTTAGAGGTGGAAGTCAGAGGATGAGGTGTCAACCCTCTGTCGGGGGCGTCTGCAGGGCCACAGGCATGTCCTACCATGAGGGGACCCCAGGCCTGGCACTGGTGGCCTTGACAAGAGCACAGCTGCTGGGCTCAGTGAGAAGCAGAGAGCAGCCGCCAGGCGCCCCCAGCCCGGCATACCCCGTAACCTGGAGCGCAAGCCTCATGTCCAGGAAGGAGTGAGGGGCAGCCCCCGGGGCACGCGGCTGTGGCTGTCAGAATGCACCACTAGGAGTGGGAAGGGGACACCGCTGTGGCCACGCAGCTCAGCTGTCAGGCGCCCCCAGAACATAGGGGGGCAGCAACCCTTGCATTCCTCTGTCCATTAAACAAGGCTGACACCTCCCTATTTAAAAGCAGTAAAGGGGGCCCAGCGGCGTAGCCTAGTGGCTAAAGTCCTCGCCTTGAACAAGCCAGGATCCCATATGGGCGCCGGTTCTAATCCCGGCAGCTCCACTTCCCATCCAGCTCCCTGCTTGTGGCCTGGGAAAGCAGTCAAGGACGGCCCAAAGCTTTGGGACCCTGCACCTGAGTGAGAGACCCGGAAGAGGTTCCTGGTTCCTGGCTTCAGATCGGCGCAGTACCGGCCACTGTGGCCACTTGGGGAGTGAATCATCGGACGGAAGATCTTTCTCTCTGTCTCTCCTCCTCTCTGTATATCTGACTTTCCAAGAAATAAATAAATCTTAAAAAGAAAAAAAAAAAAAGCAGTAAAGGTGGGAGGGGAAGGCGGGAGGAGTGGCGGGGGTAAGAAGTGACACCGTAAGAGCTTCCAGGAGTCGCACACACCACTCTGCAGCACAGCCCTTCATGCAGTGGCCACCTGCCATGCCCTCCCAGCACTAGCCAGTCTCTCCACATGGGCAAGCTGAGACACAGCTCAAGATGGTGGCACATGCGGGGCCACAAGGAAGGGGGCGGGGTCAGGCCCTCTCCTGCTAACCCACCGTCACGGCCGTGCCCAGGCCCTCTCCTGCTAACCCTGCCATCACGGCCATGCCCAGGCCCTCTCCTGGCCCTCTCCTGCTGACCCACCTTCACGGCCATGCCTGGGCCCTCTCCTGGCCCTCTCCTGCTGACCCACCTTCACGGCCGTGCCCGGGCCCTCTCCTGGCCCTCTCCTGCTAACCCACTGTCACGGCCGTGCCCAGGCCCTCTCCTGCTAACCCTGCCATCACGGCCATGCCCAGGCCCTCTCCTGGCCCTCTCCTGCTGACCCACCTTCACGGCCGTGCCCGGGCCCTCTCCTGGCCCTCTCCTGGCCCTCTCCTGCTGACCCACTGTCACGGCCGTGCCCGGGCCCTCTTCTGTTGACCCACCGTCACGGCCATGCCCGGGCCCTCTCCTGTTGACCCACCATCACGGCCGTGCCCGGGGCCCTCTCCTGGCCCTCTCCTGCTGACCCACCATCACAGCCGTGCTCGGGTGTTGGGGTCCGTGCAGTGGATGTGGGGGACGCAAAGGTGTGGAGAGTATTATTCCACTGCAGGCTGGACCGCAGGGAACTTCTGCTATATGGCAGGGCCTGGTGGATGTCTCTACAACCACCTGAATGCAGCTCCGCCTCCCTTGGCATGGACACCAGACCACCCTGTGGAAGAACTCTAATCCATCCAGGCATTGCTTGCTACTCTGAGGCTGGCCTTTTACTCAGTGTGAGCTTGGAGGTTAATGTCAATAATAATGTCTTGCAAAAGGGCCTTCTGTTATTCCTACTGTCTTGGCTGTCCCCATTGACCTTATGCTAATCAAGGGACCTGTATTTAGGCTTTCATTCTTTCCTCATTCTTTAGGTTCCCCTTTTCTTTGTGATACAAGATTGAGTTGTAGAATAAGAATTGTAGCAGGAACTTCTATTGTTTCTAGGTAAAACTAATGGCAGAATTATCCTTAGAAATACCCACTTGACCATGACGTAAAAAGTCTGAGCCAGAGTTTGACTGATTTTGTATAAATAAAGTGGACAGCTTTTGTGCATTGCCCATTATGATCATGGAATCCTAGTGGTCCGTCTTTCTTTCCTCTTTGCGCCCATCCACGCACCCTTCGCGAGTTCCGAACTCAGCTGGAGCTGGACTCCGGCACCCGGGCCCTCTCCTACTGCTGACCCACCGTCACAGCCAGCCCGGGCACTCTCCTGCTGACCCTGCCATCACGGCCATGCCCGGGCCCTCTCCTGGCCCTCTCCTGCTGACCCACCGTCACGGCCGTGCCCGGGCCCTCTGCTCCTGACCCTGCCATCACGGCCGTGCCCAGGCCCTCTGCTCCTGACCCTGCCATCACGGCCATGCCCAGGCCCTCTCCTCCTGACCCTGCCATCAGGGCCGTGCCCGGGCCCTCTCCTGCTGACCCTGCCATCAGGGCCGTGCCCAGGCCCTCTCCTCCTGACCCTGCCATCACGGCCGTGCCCGGGCCCTCTGCTCCTGACCCACCATCACGGCCGTGCCCGGGCCCTCTCCTGCTGACCCTGCCATCACGGCCGTGCCCAGGCCCTCTCCTGCTGACCCTGCCATCACGGCCGTGCCCGGGCCCTCTCCTCCTGACCCTGCCATCACGGCCGTGCCCGGGCCCTCTCCTGCTGACCCTGCCATCACGGCCGTGCCCGGGCCCTCTCCTCCTGACCCTGCCATCACGGCCGTGCCCGGGCCCTCTCCTGCTGCTGACCCTGCCATCACGGCCGTGCCCGGGCCCTCTCCTCCTGACCCTGCCATCACGGCCATGCCCAGGCCCTCTCCTCCTGACCCTGCCATCACAGCCGTGCCCGGGCCCTCTCCTGCTGACCCTGCCATCACGGCCGTGCCCGGGCCCTCTCCTCCTGACCCTGCCATCATGGCCGTGCCCAGGCTCGGGGAATCGTGCAACTTCTCACCAGTAAACTCTGCACCAGCTCCTTCACGTTCGCTGCCGTCTCTGTGGACTGCTTACCAGACGAAGCCAGCTTTATTAATGTAGACAGAAAGTTTTTGCATTTCTTCACGTTTTCCATGGTCTCCTAGGTTAAAACATAAAGACAAGTGAGGCAGTCAGGGGAGCCTCGCAGACGCCTGGCCAAGAGACACATGGCTCTTCTCCTAACTTCTTTCCAGAAAACACTGTGAGGGCAGCCCACCACGCCTGTCCAGGGCATCACAGGGCTGTACCCTCAGCCCACAGGCCATCACACTGAGTGGCCGAAGGCGGGCACAGGGCACTGTTCTGACAGCAGAGGGCGCCACCTGAAAGTGCACACCAGAACCAACTCCTGATGAGAGCTCCAGAGAAACATGGAAAAACGTGCCCAGAGGTCACACGGTGCCATCTTGCTGAAAGACCTGCCCTGGTGTGGGCCATGGGGAGTGGAGAGAGGGGCTCAGGGAGAGAGGAGTGGGCTAGGGGCACAGGGAGTGCTGTCACTACGCCAAAGGTGGTCAGGCGTGCTCCTCTACTGCCACCAGCCAGTTGTCTCCCATCCACAGACAGCCCCCGGTCTAAGCTCAGAGGGAAGATCAGAGTGCTTCACTGCACCCCTCCCATGCCTCATCAGGGCTGTGGGCCCAATGCCCCCTCACACATCGATGGTCTGAGCCAGCAGGAAGCGGGGGGGTATGGCAGCTGCTTGCCCAGCTGTCCCCAAAGGGCTCTTACCGTGGCAGCTGTGGTGGTGGCGCTGGCCCCTGGCACTGTCCTCTGAGGAGCTCCTGCCGGAACTGCAGACGCCGTCCCGAGGGCAGCCGTCTGCGTAGCACCCCCCAGGACGAGCTGAGGCTGCAAGGACCCAACACCCATGGTGAGGACATGGCAGGCCGCCCAGCAGCTCCGTGCAGACGGCAGCCACTCCCCGACAGCTGAGGGTCCCTGCCACCAGCTGCCGCCCTCAGCAGAGCCACACTTATGACGACGTCCAGGGAAGTCCCCTGGTGCGCCTGTGCAAACAGCCCATCCCGGGAAAGAGCCTACTCTGCAGTCACTGTGAGGAGGCTGGGTGACCAATGACCAAGCCCCCTCTGCCCTGCAAGAACCTCACCCAGCAGCCACATCAGGCAGGGTCAGGGTTTAGCACACTGCCAGGAGGGAGTGGCCGCTGGGCTGAACAAACGGGCAGGAGGCCTCAGATGCTGCACAAATTCCCGAGGTTTCCGTTTCACAAGAATGATCCTGACGCAAACATTTGCTGATGTGCCCCACTTGTAAATGCAGCTGCGAGGACTCCCTGCAGCACAGAGTGCAGGCAGGGGGCAGGACAGCTCAGGAAGCACTGCTTGGACCTGCGCGCTCTCTGGGGCTTCCCGGGGGCCATCCCCGAGCAGAGGCGTCCCCGCCCTGCCTGGGCACTGCTTGCACACCACACACACCATGAGCCTACACTTCCAGGGTGAGGTGGGCAGCCCTGGAGGCGCTGAGGGGCCATGGGCTGGTCCCGGACTGGACCACAGGACTCACCTGCCCTCTGGGGGCTGGCTATTACTACTGTTATCACTATTTTTATCATCATTATTATTATTTAATTTACTTAATGCAGTTGGCAGGCAGAGAGGCAGACAAACAGGCTCCCCATCAGCTGCTTCACTCCTGAAAGACCCTCAGCAGCCAGGGCTGGGCCAGGCCGAAGCCCCCGCCAGGGCTCCCCCGGCCCCACTGGGGTAGCCAGCAGCCGCACAGGCCCTCTGGCTACTGCGCCCAGCACTTCATTTTTCAGGGTGCATCCCCTGACACCTGCTGACTTCAGTGACTGCATCTTTCCCAAACTTCACTGAAACTATGTGAGCTTCTCAGAAAATAACCGTACCCAAGTTGGAGACCCCTTCCCCACAGGGGCTTCCTGAACCCCCGCCTGCCAGGAGACCCCTTCCCCACAGGGGCTTCCTGAACCCCCACCTGCCAGACACCTGCTCCTGGTGCCACAGAACCCACATGGGCTCCCGAATTCCTGTCACCCTCTGCTGGTCAAGCCCAGGACACGGCAGCAGTAGGACCCGCAGAGCTCAGCGCCAGGGCCAGCCCCGAGGGGCCCTGCCTTCTTCCCTGGCAGAAGGGACAGACCAGCCAGTACAGCTGAGCTGCCCAGAGCAAGTGGGGGTGGACCAGTCCCCCCACAAGGGTGTGGCAGGGCACAAAACGAGAGCCACACTGGTGATCCAACACCAGGTCCTGGCAGAGTGGTCCAGTCCCAGCGCCTGCCCTCACCCTCTCAGGCCTCCCACACACAGCGAAGCTGGGGCTGGCATGATCTGACAGCGGGCAGGCTCAACTCCTGGCTCTGCTTCTGATCCCAGCTTCCCGGAGGCAGCACGCTGCCAGCGGGTCCCTGCGGCCCTGCATCTACACAGTGAACCAGCAAGTGGAAAGCCTCACTGCTCTCTCTCTGCCTTTCAACTGAACTACAAATCTTTAGCCGTGAGGCACCCCTGTCCGACACACGTGCTGCACAGGGCAAGCTCCCCAGGCCCAGCTGGGGACCGACGCTGTATGAACGAGGAACCCTGTTCTGGGAAAAGCACCCCAAGTTCAGCAGCACCCTATGAACTCCAGCCCCCACCCACGGCAAGACCCACGCGCATGAGCTTGGGGCCCGTGCTACCCCTTACCTGAACGCCAGGCGAACGCTGTAGGGTTGTAGTGGGCTGTACCGTTGTCTGGGCCTGAGATACTTGCTTGATTATGGTCGTGGGGGTCACCTGCCGTGCAATGATGGGTGTCCCAGGCGCCTGCCAGATCAGCCAGTCATGTCAGACAAGCACCAGCCAACAGAGCAGAGCTCCCCAACCCCCTGTGTACAGACCCCAACCAGGACAGTTCAGGACCCACAGGCACAGCAATGGGCTCATGGGAGCCACCAAACCAGGAGCTATAATCAAGGCGTACACACACTGCTACCCCGAGTCTCCAGACACCTTCACCACCGTCAATGCACACGTTTGCATGGCCACTATCCAGGGTGGCAGAGGCAAAACAAGCCAACAACAGGAGGACAAGGCCTGCCAGGAGGGAAAAGCACCTCACAGAGCAGGGGAAGTGCGAGAGAGGGGCTGACAGCACGTACATGGGACCCCAGCGCACGGCCCACGGCACACAGACCACAGGGCACAGCCCACAGCACACAGACCACAGGGCACAGCCCATAGCACACGGGGCCCACAGCCCACAGCCCACAGGGCACAGCCCACAGCCCACAGGGCACAGACCACAGGGCACAGCCCACAGCACACGTGGCCCTCAGCGCACGGCCCACAGCACACAGACCACAGGGCACAGCCCATAGCACACGGGGCCCTCAGCACACAGCACACAGGGCACAGCCCACAGCCCACAGGGCACAGACCACAGGGCACAGCCCACAGCACACGGGGCCCTCAGCACACAGGGCACAGCCCACAGCCCACAGGGCACAGACCACAGGGCACAGCCCACAGCACACGGGGCCCTCAGCACACAGGCCAGCCACAGCCCAGGCACACCGGCACAGCCCACAGCCCGCCCACAGCCGCACAGCCCACAGGGCACAGACCACAGGGCACAGCCCACAGCACACGTGGCCCTCAGCGCACGGCCCACGGCACACAGACCACAGGGCACAGCCCACAGCACACGGGGCCCTCAGCACACAGCACACAGGGCACAGCCCACAGCCCACAGGGCACAGGGCACAGACCACAGGGCACAGCCCACAGCCCACAGGGCACAGGGCATAGCCCACAGCACACGGGGCCCAGCACATTCATCAGCACTTCACTTGGGGAAGCAGACACAACAGCCCCCCGGGCACTCTGAGATAAGAGGCACCTCCACCAGCTTGCGAGTGGCGCTGCAGGAGACAGTGCTGTGCCCAGGCTCCCTGAACTCCTTGCTCACCTGGGAGGCCCTGGCCCCGAGGAGCAGGTGTTCCAGGGCATGCATGCACTCACCTGCACGGTGGAGATCTGGACAGGAGGGGCACTTGTGGGGGTGGCAGGACGTGGCGCCATGGTGCTCTGAGGCTGGGCCTGGGCGTGCGCCTGCGCCTGCATCTGCGCCAAGGCCTGCTGGGGAATCATCAACAGCTGCCCATTCTCACTCCGCACGAGGACCATTCCTGGGGACAAGACGGGGCAAGGTCAGGACAATGTCTGACACTGTGAGGGGCAGACAGAGCCAAAGCAGTGCCAGCACTGGCCAGCAGAGCCAGGTCAACCACCGCCACAGGCTCACCGCCAGCCAGCCAGGTGCTAGCCAGGTACCCACACTGCACTTCCCAGGGTAACCAAGTCAAAGTGACGAGGGGCGAGGTCAGGCGGTGAGGGGGTCGGAGGACCTGTTGACATCACGAGGCTGGGCCCCAGGGGCGTCCACATGCTGGCCCTGCGTCCTGGCATCGTCCACATTGCATCTGGAGAACCCTGACACAGCAGGGAATCCCCCACCTGAGCCCTGAGCCCTCTGGTGTCCACACCACATGAGGGCATGGAGGGGGCGGGAAGTGTTCCCACACTCGGCTGGGCACACAGCGCCACGCTGGGAATCCCCTGTGCAAGGACGGTCCCTCACCCTCACTCATGGGAAAGCAAAGCACACCACCCAGGAGGTTCTGCTGCCCAGCCAGGAACCAGGCAGTGGGCCCAGGGCAGCCTAGCTCAGCAGCCCAGCTCCCAGGATGCCAGCCGCGCTGCAGAGACGAGCCGCCGGGGAAAGTGCTGCTCCCCGACAGAGGGAGGGGCTCCTGAGGGCAGGCCTGGCTCCCACACTCGTCACACAGTAGAGAAGCAAAGGCAAGGCCTCCCCCGGGCTTGCCACTAAAATTCTTGACCCAAAAACCCAGTCAGGCCTGTAAAGACAGCTGCCCTCCAAGATGTCCCACCGAAAACAGAACAGGCTGAAGGGAGCCAACCCAGCCAGACCCAGGCACTACACATCTCTGCCAAGGGGAGGCCTCACAAGCCCCGAGAGGACGGGTTGGCACCACATGCGTGCAGGGCCAGCCCCGAGACGGCCTCAGGCAGGTGGCAGATGAGTCTGCCTTGCTCAGCAGCCACTGGCAAGTTGGAGGCAGCAGTAAGCCTGTTCACCCAAGATCCCCAAGGCCACCTGAAGGCCACTAGCAGTGGACCCAGGCCGTGAGACGGCAGCCCACACACACACAGTGACCTGAAGGCCACCAGCAGGGCAGCACACGGACCCTGTGACTTCACAGGCAGCCCAAGCTGGAATGTGGTTTTATTTCCACTTGGAAAAATCACCCCACCAACACTGAAAGGAACACATCAGACCCTCAAGAAACAGCACGATGGTCAAAACTTTATCAGAATCAAAGTGGCATTTTGAACATGTCCCAAGTATAAAAGCTATGACTCCTTAGAGCACGGCGCACAGGCCATTAGCACCTCTGTCACGGCCAAGACACCAAGACAAGGGAGTCCCTGCTGACTCAACTCCAGACAACGGCCTGTTCACGTCCCTCCCCTGACCGGGTACCAACCCAGGCTGCCTCGGCCTCAGCATTCTGATCCACAGGACTGCGTTACCTTCGGCAAAACGAAGAACCACAGGCTTCTGGGAGCCACCCAAGGCTGCGCTGGCAGGAGCTGGCCTGGCTGCTGGGCAGCAGGGGCCCCTGCACGTGTACCCTGCACAGACAGGGACAGATGCACCCACCACCGAGGCTGGCAGAGCCCTCCTGCGCGCCCTCCCCTGCCCCCACAGCTCTCATCATTGTGCAGTCACACTAAGAACTCATAGCTTCCACTCGGGTGAAGATTCAGTGTTAGTCTAGATTCTACTTCTCTTTATCGTCAAAAGGCAGGTTTGTTGTTTTCACTAAGATTTATTTACCTACTTGAAAGACAGATTTACACAGAAGGTTACAACCACACCCACCACGGTCACTCCACGCAGGGCTCAGAGCCATGACGACACAGGCACCACAGCCCTCAGGTGCCCGCTGCCTGCCTCTTCCCCAACGGCAACGCTCCTGGAGCAGGTCCCAGCCCAGCAGACTCAGAACCCAACAAGGACACACAGCCAAGGCCAGCCTAGACAGGACCACTTCCCAACCGGCGACGCCAGCAGCCCTCGGTGTAGTGCCAACACGATGGTGGGATTCCCCAGAGGGGCAGCTCCGGGGCCTATTCCCTGCACAGCACCCAGGAAGGTACGGAGGGCGGCCCACGAAGGAGACCTGCATGGACAACAGGGTTCAACAAACGCCCCTCACACACCCTTCTCCTTCTCTCCACCCCATCACACAACAGAGAAATGCAATACAGGCGGGTCCAGCAGAGGGACAGGGCAGCAGAGTCCAGCCGCTGCAAATGGCCTAGGCCAGAGCCGGGAGTGGGAGCCGGGAGTGGGAGCCGGGAGTGGGAGCCGGGAGCGGGAGCCGGGAGCGGGAGCTGGGAGCAGGAGCCAGGAACAGGGAGCGGGAGCAGGAGCGGGAGCTGGGAGCAGGAGCGGGAGCCAGGAACAGGGAGCGGGAGCAGGGAGTAGGAGCCGGGAGCAGGAGCGGGAGCCAGGAACAGGGAGCGGGAGCAGGGAGTAGGAGCCGGGAGCAGGAGCTGGGAGCAGGAGCGGGAGCAGGGAGTAGGAGCTGAGAGCTGGGAGCCAGGAGCAGGAACCGGGAGCAGGAGCCGGGAGCAGGAACCAGGAATGGGAGCCGGGAATAGGGAGCCAGGAGCGGGAGACGGGAGTTCCGTTGAGGTCTTCTGGGTGGCAGCAGGGACGCGGGCCCCTCACCTCCCAGGGTACCTGTCAGCAGGAAATGACCAGAGCAAAAGCAGGCTCCCGTCCCTGGCACAACTCCTGGTGCCACAGCACCCACCTTCTGCTCCCAGGAGCTCCCAGGGAAGGAAGCACCCAGGGGTCAGCCAAACCAACAGCCTGAAGGAAGACAACCTGCACACAGTAGCAAGCAGAAGTAAAAGGACAGAAATTTTCATCTACCGCAATGGAAAAGCTCTTGGCAACCAGACGGAGGGGACCCACAACAACTCAGGGAATCCCAAATGACTGCTCAGTAAAAGCGGTGAGAGGCGCTAGGCTCTTCCACCTGCTGCGATGCACACCTGGCTCCAGGGACAGAGGTGTGTCAGTGGCCACATGCCGACCAGGGGCCTGCAGACAGTGGCTGGAAGAGCGGGGGCCGGCTGCAGCTCCTGACCATGAGGTGGCACCAGCGTCCACACACATCAGAACTTGCTCAGTTGTCATGGCAGCACTGGGCATACGCCCTCAGCAGATCCCTCACGCAGGAAACACTGGTAGCTCTGAGCACGGACAGTGCGGCCCCAACGCACTCACCTTCCCCCCGCCGTCCCCAGCCCACCAGGGACCCCCACCTGCTGCCCATTTGCCAGCAGACACAGCAGGAGCCCCGTGGGAACCCGGGCACCACAACGATCCACATCAGCCATCTCTCTCTCTCTCTTTTTAAACACTGAAACATTTGCAGACTTTGCCAACTGAGCATCCAAAACCAAACGCTGAACCAGCACTCCAGGCCACAAGCTGTGGACTTCAGGGCATCCCTGGGCCTCAGACTGGCCAGGAGGCTGCGAAGGGAGCCTGGGATGCAGCAGCCCCCAGGTCACATGGCAGATCAGCCTCTCCCCAGGGATTAGAGGGATTGGCCTCTGCTGACCCCAGCAGTGGGCCCATTCGGGGCAGAAGGGGGGTCCCCCCAGGCCTGCCTCCCTGTGTGCTGAGGGCCCCTCCCACACCCCCGAGGTGCCCTTGGGCCTTCTGATTCATTCTGGCTGGGCAGGAATGCTTCCCGGGAAGCTTGGATACAGCAGGGATACAGACCAGTCAACAGGAAGCAAGTGGTGCCCTGAGTGTGAGGTCACCCTCCCACTTCCCTCATGAACACCGACGTGGGGTGGCGCCCCCCCCACACCTGCAGCCTAGCACAGGCCAGCAGCCCATATCAGAGCCCCTTTTCTGCTCCAGCTCCCTGCACACAACAGAACACACTCTTGGCTCCCTGGCCCCACCTGCCTGCGGTGCTGCCCGCGTCTTCCTCTCCATCCTCCCATACAGACCCCTCTCCTCCAGGCCCACTGCCCACAATGCAAGCCCTGGCTGCCCCTCACAAGTGTCTCCTGCCCTCTGAACCAGTGCTGAACTTGCAAGGCTCAGCTCCACATGCACGTGTACACACACACACACACACACACTCCCCAAGGGCTCCACACACACACACACCAAGGGCTCCACACACACACACACCAAGGGCTCCACACACACACACACACACACACACACACACACACACACACACACACACCCCCAAGGGCTCCACACACACACACCAAGGGCTACACACACACACACACACACACACACACACACACACACCCCAAGGGCTACACACACACACACACACACACACACACACACACCCCAAGGGCTACACACACACACACACACACACACCCCATAGGCTCTACATGTACGCACAGACACACAAGGACCTACACTCCTTCCCCACCATCCTGGCCTTCTGCTCTGAGCCCCTCCCACCAGGGCCTCTCAAAGCTGGGACACAGTCCCCCACCTCTCCACTCCACTCCACCCCAGTGCTCGGCCCCAAAGGCCAGCCACTCCAGCAGTCCAGGAGCACACTGCAAGCCCTGCTGCACGGCCCTCAGAGCTACCCACCCCCGCTCTGCAGGGCTGTGAGTGCCTGGGGGTAGAGAGGTCATTCCTCCATTCCCTGAGGGAAGTACAGAGACCCCCCCCCCATGTCCTGGGCTTTCCCATAAGGCACTGCAGCTCCCTGCCGGCATTCCAAGCTGACACCCCAAACGGCGGCCATGCTTGTCTCTGAGCCCAAGGCAGCAGGCATGGCCCCTTGCACAGCCTGGTTCTTTGCTAGCTAGCCCCTGGCCCCACACCTGCCCCATGCCCAGCCCAGACACAGCCTGCAGGCGTCACACCTCCTCCCCTTTACTGCTGGCTGGGTGGGTCTGGGCTAGGCAGGCCAACTGTTCACCCAGGCAGGGTGGACCCTCCAGAGCACAGACGCCCAGCCAGGTGATGGGGGCCTGCAGGTACCCCCCCTCCATGCCACCTGCTGAGTCAGCTTTAAGGAACCGGAAGGGG